CCCGCCTCGGCCTCCCAGAGTGCTAGGATTACAGGCGTGAGCCACCGCGCCCGGCCTGGTGCCTCAGTTTTCTTATCTGTCCCATGGGCTTAAGCATGGTACCTACCTCACAGGCTTGCTGAGAAGACTGAGGTGCCTGGGGGAAAGGCTCAGGGCAGCACCCAGCACAAGGTTACTGCTGAGCACCCCCATCCCCGCTCCTGGGAAAGCACTTCTCTGCCCTGGACCATCTGAAATCTGCAGTGTTTCCGGAGAGCCCCATCAGCATCTAGATTCTAGATGCTTCTTGGCTAAGACCAAGGCTGTGGGCAGCAACTTCTTGCCTCTGACTCCCCTGGGGGAAAGGCTGGTAAAGGCAGGGTTTTGAAAGTCTCGGGGCTGAGGCTTGCACAAGTCCAGGACTGCTCTGCAGCCCCAGCCCTTCCCCACCGCTGGTTTAGCAAGAAGGAGGAAGCCAGTGTTCTTGTCCCCAAACCTCCTCTCCTAGTCACTCGGGCCTGCACCCTGGGAGCCGGCATCCTCCATTCTGTCGTCTTCTCCCACCTCCCCAAGTCTGGGCCGGCAGCACGTTCTACCCCTAAGCACGTCCTACACTGGCCACTCCTCTGCAACCCACTTCTACTCCCAAGTCCAGGCCGCCATCGTCTCTTGCCACCTCGTGGCTTCCTTGCCCCTGACTCTGCCCCCCAAATCCTCAGCATCGCCTACCATGCTCTCTACCCAATTGACTCTTCTCTCTTGCTCCGCTGCTATCACCCTGGCCGCCGCCGCCTCCTAAGTGCTTTGCTCTCTCGGGGCCTGTGCACAGTGCACATGCTCTTCCTTTCCCTGGGAATGCTCTTCCCCACAGTTGTCTTGTGACTCACCCCCGTAACTTGGGGAACGCCATAAATATCACTTCTTCAGAAGTCTTCCCTGACCTCCCCACCTGAAGGAGCTGTGCTCACCTGCAGTCTAGCACAGTCCTCTGGTTTTCTTTATTGCCAGCACTGAGCCCTGGGGGGTGTGATTTTGCTTTCATGTTTCCTTGGTTCCTTGTCTCCACACCGACAACGTAAGCCCACCAGGGCCCTCACCTTTTTCTTATCTCTTCACCCTGGAGTTCCCAGAACCCAGCACAGTGCCTGGCACCTAGGAAAGGTTCAGATAAGTTTCTTCAATTGTAAGCAGTGTGTAAAACAACCATTAGAGTTTTATGTTTTTTCTCATTGCTTAACAGCATTTTTTTCTACACTTCTATGTAGACCTCAAATTTGTCATTGTTCCTAATATCCTTCTTCCTTTCTCAGTTGTTTCCTAAAGTCAGCTTGAGGGCTGTTTCTAGGTTTTAGCCATAATATCCAACTTAGTTGTATATATCATTGTCTGTATTATACGTTTTTTGCTATCTAATGATTCTTTGAGATATAATTTTCAAACTGAGATGTTTAAGGCAAGGATATGATCATTTTGAAGGCATTTGCCACTTATTACCAGATGGCTATTTAGAAAAATCATCCTCAGCAGTGTGTGCAAATTTGCCTGCAGCCTCACAAGCATTGTGTTTTATCCTTTTTATTTGTTTTGACTAGTTTAATGAGGGAGGGCATGGTAATTTTAAGTTTTCTGTTGCTTGAATTGGTGAAGCCGAGTAGTTTTCTATGTGGGTGGTAGCTCCACGTCCTGTCTTGTGAAGGAAGGAAATCTCCATGGCACCTTAATTCTTCCTTCGCTTGTGTGGAAGGGGATGGTTCCACTTGAGCCCCTCTCGTGAGAGCAGGCTGGGACGGGGACATACAGAGCTAAACTCTGCTGGTTGCAGAAGCTGCTCTGTTAGTCAACCAGCAAGGAACTCTGAGAGTCCTTTGTGCCCTCAGCATGGGGCTGTGGGGAGAGAAAGAACTTTTTTTTTTAAAGCCTTTGTGAATATTTTTTTCAAAATGGTAATTTTTTTTTTTTTAATTATAGAAGCAACACAAGGTGCGCAAGGTTATTCGTTGGAACGTTGGGGTAGGAAAAGGTTGGGAAACAACCTAAGTGTTCATTGCGAGTGGAACTGAACACATAATTACAGGGAAATCCCGTGCAGCCATTACAAGAAATGCACTTGATGTCCAACACCCTGGCAGAGACCGATCTGAGACACTGTCAGTCTCCTGCGGTTGCTGTAACATGACCACAAACTTAAAACAACACACACATTTATTATCTTACAGTTCTGGGGGACAGAAGTCCAGAATTAGTCTCGGTGGTCCAAAATCAAGGCAGGGCTGCACTACTTCCGGAGGCTCTGGGGGAGGTGGTTAGCGTGGCTTTGCTGACTTCCAGAGGTGCCCACATTCCTCGGACTGGCCCCTTCCTCCGTCTTCAAAGCCATCAGCGTGACATCTTTAGATCTCTCTCGGACTCCAGCCTCTGCTTCTGTCCTCACATCTTTTAATTCTCCAGCCTCCACTTAAAAAGACCCTTCCGATTACACGGACCCACCTGCATAAGAGAGGACAACTCTCCGTCCCAAGATCCTTCACGGTATCTGTAAAGTCCTTCGCCACATACGGTGACGCACACGTTCCAGGGGTTAGGGCGTGTGCATCTTTTGCTGGGGGAGAGGGGCGAGTTATTCTGCCCACCACTCCCTAAAGGGAAATAGTTCAGAGCAGTGTGTGGGCTCACATTTGTGTAAGGAAGAAAAAAGGGGGGCGGGGTACGTATGTGTGAAGGTGTAGAATACCCTGGAAGGCTGCACAGGGAACGGGGGAGAGTGACTGCTTCGGGGAAGAACAGGATTGGAAGGGAAACTTGTCATAGTATATCTTTTTGTATTTAAATTTTTTACTACATGCATATGTCACCTCTGTTAAAAATAATCTTCAAAAATAACATATAGTCATTGTAAAAGTTCAAACCTCCCAGAAGCAGAGAAGGAAAATACCCGCCCAGCCCCACACATAGGTCACGCCCCTTTTTCCGGAAATAACCCACTGCGAAGAGTTTGTCTGTATTCTTGCAGGCCAAAAACAAAGCACATATGTTCCCCGCCCCCATAGATGGGGTCACCCTGTAGTCGGCTGCGATGCGATGCCTTTGCTCTCTGTGGCTGCGGTCTTTCCCCGTCCATGTGAGGATCAACCACACTGGCAGCACCACTGCTCGGATGCACAGTAACTGACTGACCCGACAGCTGGCGGGGGACACTTGAATTGTTTGCTGCTTTTCAGAGCGACCCCAACTCTGCAGTGTCCATCCGTTTTAATTGGAATGAAATTCACATACTGTGAAATTTACCATTTTAAAGTGAATCATTCAGTGGCATTTATCAGCAGCCAACACCTCTATCTAGTTCCAGAATATTTTCATCACCCCAAAAGGAAACCCCATACCCAATAAATAGACGCTCCCCATTCTTCCCTTCCCCCAGCCCCTGGCAACCACCAGTCTGCTTTCTGTGTCTGCATTTGCCTGTTCTGAATGTTTCGTATCAATGGAATCATGTACTACGTGACATTCTCTGTCTAGCTGCTTTCCCGGAGCATTCCGTCTCGGGGGTTTATCCGTGTCGTAGCACGTATCAGTGCTTCATTTCTTCTTACGGCTGAATAACATCCCCTTGTGTGGATGTGTCCATCTGTTCATCCATCGATGACACCTGGGTGGTTTCCAACTCTTGCTCTTGTGGGCGTGCTGCTAGAAACGCCCATGGACAAGTATCTGTTTGCCTGTTTCGGTCCTTTCGGCTGTGTACCCAGGACATATGTTCTTCTACATACATTTTGAGCTCAATACTAATTTCAGACATCTTTAAAACTAACTTAACTTACAACTAACTTGTAGGAAGGATTGTAAAGCACACACTAAGGCACATGGTTGCAGAATGACATCTGCATGAACGTTTTCTTATTTTTCAGATCCAGGAGCAACAGGAAAATGTCCACGCGGGATGAAAAGGTAAACCGATTCTGGTGGTTTGGTAGCATTTAGGAACTCCCAGCCTTGAAGGTCATTCTGTTTGGTGTTTCAGACAGGGTAGAGAGAGATTACCTACGCAGGGTGTTTCCACTGTGCCAAAGTGTTAAAAGTCACAAAGGTGAAACACCTTAGAAAGACTTCCCAAAACCTCAAGGTAGCCTGATAATCTGAATCAAGCAGTTCGAATCCCAGCCCTTCATTTTGATGACTACGTGTCATTAGGCCTTCACCTCCCTGAGCCTCAGTTTCCTTATCTGGGAAATGGCGAAAAGGTTATTTACCACCTCTGCTCCCCGACGGGTTGCCAGGAGGATGCGATGAGACAGTGGGCTCACAGCGTTAGGCAGAGACTGAGCGGTCCAGGGCTTTTCCTTCCCGCCCGTTTGACAGTTAATGGAACTTGGACACAGGGAAGTATAGCCACTTACTCAAGATCACATAGCTAGGAAGTGGCAGAGGTGGAATTTCAACCCAAATGCTTTGCCTCCTATATCATATGGCCGTCCTGAGGGGGACAGTAAACTCTGTCCTTGATATCCGGGGTGCAGGTTTGTTGGGCTTGGGGGGACATTGGTTGGGAAGATTGGGGCACGGTGGAGAGGAAGCGTTGAGTGCTGTGTCGGCTGTTCCCTCCGTGGTTCTGGGGGCCTGGCCAGGTGGAGCTGTCCGGGGCAGGACTGGAGGCTCAGGGGAGCCGCAGGGGCGAGTGGGGAAGAGTCCAAGAAGCAAATGCGAGGGCCTCCAGGACTGTGGAATGATAACGATGGTGAACTTGTCCTTGTCAAATTGATGACCCCAGCAACTATTATAAGAGGCGCTCCCTGAGTTCCAGGTTTTGTTAGTGAGAAAGTTAGTACCGGAGAAAGGTAAGTAAAAACAATTCGTACTTTTCCTTCATTTTAGTTTCCTATTAAATGTGGTGAACCGAAAAAACGTGGAAATGCTCCTTGCTGATTGCATTGTGGTGAAACCAGCTCACTCGACCATATCACGAGGAACTGGGTCAACCCATATAACTGGGAGAAACTTTGACAGTGTGTCAAGAATCGTGACAATGTTCATATTCGAGGCTGGTCGTCTCACTTATGGGAGAGGAAACCCATAAAAATGAAAACGCATAATTTATGGCACCACGTTTCTCAGCACGTTAGACACCACTGATTGTAGATGCGCGTGATTTTATGTGCTATGGAGAAAAGCGCGTGCTGCCACTTACTGTGATACAAGGTGACGATACACTGAAACCGATCAATTGGAAGGCACATCCAGATTTCAGAGATGTTAAAGTGTGAGAAAATGTGGTCTTTGGAATTGGTGATAAAGGTGCTAAAAATTAGGAACAATCAAAAAATGCACTAATAAGACCGTTTGACTCTTTGGTAAGCGTTTTGCCCATTGAAAAGACATAAGTCTGTGTATAACTAGTAGGGAGAAATAAGATACAAAACTGTCTGCAGTCTGTGCTTATAATTGTAACAGGCATAGATTAGAAGTAGCTAGATGATGGACGTCCGTGTTGGGATAACGAATTTATTTCCCTGTCTTTTGCTCATGTTTTCACCATAGTAATACTAAAAGGGAACGATCTAGGCTGGAGGTCTGTGTGTGGGTGAATGGCAGCAGGTGAGCTTGGGGGCTTGCATGAAGCTGGGAGGTGCAGGGACCAGTTGGGGAGGTGGGTGGGAGCCTTGCCAGAGGCCTGTGCCAGGGCACAGAGACAGCGGGGCAGCGGAGGTTGGCATGCAGAGCCACGGACGCACCTTGGGCCACTCCCGGGGGCAGGAGTCTCTCTGTCGTCACACACAGGCTGGCCCAGGAGGGTATTTTTGGGGAGCTGCGGAAAAGTGTGTCTTGAAAAAAACATTCTGTTTTAAAAGGATTGCTTTTAGAGCTTTTGGATTGTCCGGCTCCTCTGGTGTTGGAGAGGAAAACGCCGTGTTGTAGGAGAAACCAGCAGGGAGTTTCAGTCGGGTGCAGACCCCTGACCCAGCAGCCAGTTCTGCTGAGATGGGCTCAGCAGGCCGTGGGTACCTGCCCTCCTCAGAGTCCCTCTCTGCCCTCCCCACCTCTCTGAGCCTCAGTTTCCCTCTTCTGTAAAGCAGGAACAGTAACACCGCCTTGCAGAGTTGTAAAGATTAAGCAAGCTTTGTGCATGCGGGGAAAGCGCTTACCAGGTGCGGGGCCGCAGCCAACACTTAGAACGTGGGAGCTGCTGCCTCTTGTGAGGATAAACTGGGTTTTCAGTCCGCCCACTGGCCCACTCCTCAGCGCAGGTGACTGCAGTCTCCTGCCGCATCTGGGCAGCCTGGGAGCCAGGTGTGCCTAGAGGTCCTTGCAGCCCTTTGGCTCCTTTCTCGGGAGGTGTGCAGGGGCTCCAGGTGCAGCCGGGCGCTGCTTCTCCTCCTCGGCTGCACCCAAACCGATCCAATCAATCTCCAAGCCTGGGTTCCAGGCTTCAGGGTGTTAACACTAAAGCTTCCAGGTGATTCCCTTGTGTGGCTGGGCAAAAAGCCTCTGGTCAGTGTGGGCTGGGCGCCGCCTCCCTCTGTCATTTCCTTAGCTGAAACATCGCTAGACATTGGCCCAGGTGTCCAAGTCACACTGGTGATAGCTCTTAATTTCTAGCTGGGTAACTATATTTTTTTCTTTCTATGCTTTCATAAAAGAAACACCTGAACTTATGCTCCTGGATGATGTGACTTTGGACCAGACTTACCTGACAGTCATTCCCAGGGAAATAGCCAACCCCTGCAGACCTGTGTCTTTCAAACTCAGACCATTGGTGGATCCTGCAATCCATCTTGGGGTTTTTTTGTTTTGTTTTTGAGACAGAGTCTTGCTCTTTCACTCTGGGTAGAGTGCAGTGGCATCATCCTAGCTCACAGCAACCTCAAACTCCAGGGCACAAACCATCCTCCCGCCTCAGCCTCCCAAGTAGCTGGGACTACAGGCGCATGCCACCATGTCTGGCTAATTTTTTAAATTTTTTGTAGAGATGGGATCTCACTGTGTTGCCCAGGCTGGTCTCAAACTCCTGACCTCAACTGATCCCACCACCTTGGTCTCCTAAAGTGCCGGGATTACAGGTGTGAGCCACTGTGACCAGGCCCCTAAAATCCATTTAATGGGCTGCAATCAGCCTTTTAAGAAATGAAATAGAATAAAATGGAAAATATAAGTGTATAGAATGTGTCTGTCAGTGTGTCGAAAGAGGCAGGGTATAAAACGTGATGTCTTACTGAGAAGCACGGCCTCAAACTCCCCACCCAGCACAGGGCTCCACCAGCCACGAGCCAGGTGCAGGGCTGGGCCGTGTTCACGACAGGCCCAGAGGGAGGAGGGGCTGGGCGCGGCAGCCTGGGTTGGAATCCTAGGTGTGCTTCTCGCTGGCTGTGTGACCTGGGGCAAGTCACTGGCATCTCTGGTCCCAGTTTCTTCGTCTGTAAATGGAGACAATTCCATGCCCACCTGACGGGTTTGCACAGAGCTCGGGGGAATAGCAGGTGCTCTGGGATAGCTACAGTGGCTAGGATTCCCATTCCTGTAAGTATTATTTCCCACTCAGTCTCCATCCACCCAGCCTCATGACCATCTTGCCAGGTGGGCAGACTTGTCTATCAGGTCAGAAGCGTTCCTGACCCAACAGGAAGAGGAGAGAAAGTTGGGGGACATGGCTTTGGGGGGACCAGGGCCACCGGCCTGTAGGTGCCCCCTCCCGCCGAAGCCAGTCAGCCGTCACGGTGGTTGTTTTCATGAACCTCAAACTTCCTCCCCACCCTAGAGAAGGAAAAGCTTCTACGCTTATTTAAAGACTTCCCTGATTTTAAAAATAGGTTTTCCCCGGAACACAAACCCCCGAGGGAGGTGCGGGGTAGGCAAGCTTGCTGCGTGGCGCTCCTGCCTCTGCCTCCCCGCTGGAGGCGAGACTTGCTTACGGGTTTCATTCCGCCACCCAGGTATGCCTAGTGGCGCCTGTGCTCTGCCAGGCACAGAGGTCGCGGTGAGCAGGAACCTGCCTGGTCAGTGCCTTGTGGGTACTCAGTCTGGTCTGGGGGACACCAGCCTCAGTCACTAAAATAGGGAGGACACAATACTACAGAGAGGACTCTGGGGTCATGCAAGAGTGTGTCGGGAAGGCCCAGGCAGCTCCCATGAGCTGGGATGCTGGGGGTGGGGGCTGAAGGAGAGAAAGAAGATAGATGGACCAGGAGTGCTGGTGCATGCTGGTAGTTCCAGCTGCTCGGGAGGCTGAAGCAGGAGGATCACTTGATGCCAGGAGTTCGAGGCTGCAGTAAGCTATGATCGCACCACTGCACTCCAGCCAGGGCAACCGAGCAAGACCCCATCTCTAAATAAAACAAAATAAAATGGAGAAGATAGATGACAGGGTGAAAGGGGGTGGCACATTCCAGCAGAGGAAATCCCATGTGCAAAGGCCCCTGTGGTTGGAGACACCAGCGGAGTACGAAAGGCTAAACAGAGATAGTGTGGCCAGAGCAGGGAGAGAGTGAGGTGAGGTCAGGTAGGTGGGCAGAGGCCGCAGGGTGCAGAGCCAGGAGTAGGCCCCTAGGAGGCTTTTGAGTTTTTTTTTTTTTTTCTAGAGAGAGAGGGTCTCACTCTGTCACCCAGTGGTGTGATCATAGTTCACTGCAGGCTTGAATGCCTGGCCCCAAACGATCTTCCTGCCTCTGCCTCCCAAAGCACTGGGATTACAGGCATGTGCCGCTGTGCCAGCTGAGTCTTTAACTTTAAGAGCAATGGACACCAAAGAAGAGTTAAGTGAGGGAGTGCGTCGGGATTCAGTGACTCACTGGGAGGGCTCCTGGGACCCAGCACACAGATGTACTAATGGCTGAGACGCAGTGCAGCGAAAGGACACGAATTAAAACCATGAAGGGGAAAGGCACGTGGGGCGAAGTTCAGAGGAAACCAGGCACAAGCTTCCAGAGTCCTCTCCTGGGCCAGGGGATCACAGAGGACACAATTCTTCCAGCAACCGCTTGTGACAAGATGTGTGACATGCTTAAGACCAGAGAAGTCCATTAGAGACTCAGTACCCGGAGTCTGTGTTGGAGCCTGGTCACACAGGCACCCTCTGCCTGGCACTTACAAAAGTTGCAGAGCCGGAAGCAGCAGCTGTCGCTGGGACTAGCTGCAGGAATGGGCTTCATCCCCGAGGTTTTGTCACCTGGAGAAGCCCGCCGCCTCCTTGGGGTCCAGGACGGGTGTGCGGCCCACAGAGGTGGAGGGGAGAGCACCGGCCCGCAGGCTGCCCCGTCCTAGGCGGACTCTGGCGCACGTCCTCTGTGTTAGTTCTGGGCCGTAACAAATTAGCACACGCTGGACGTCTTAGGACAAACGCGCTCGGTTCCGGAGGCCAGAAGGCTGGGGTCAGGGTGCTGGCAGGTTGGCGCCTTCTGAAGGTTCCGAGATGGATGCTCGGGCCTCTCCCCGGCTTCCGGTTACCCACAGTCCTCGATGTGTAGACGCATCACTCCACTCTCTGCCTCCGTCTTCACGTGGCCTTATCCTCTGTGTGTCCTTTCCTCTTTTTATAAGGACACCAGTCATGGGATTTAGGGCTAACCTAAATCCAGGGTGGGTTTCATCTCAAGATCTTTAACTGATTACATCTACAAAGACCCGTATTCCAAATAGGGTCACGTTCTGAGGCTCTAAGTGGGTGTGAATTTCGAGGGCCACAGTGCAACCCCCTGTACCCTCTCAGCAGGCGGATCCCTGGTCACTTGCTCTGTCTTGTGGGACAAAGCCTCCAAGTCACACAGCCCAGGGCTGATCCGCCTTTTCCATTTTCCAGCAGTGTGACTTTGGATATGACACCTCCCTCTCCAAGACCCTAAAGGATGGCCTCAACCTTGGAGGGTTGTTAGGAGTTCAAATGAAGTGTGTGGAAGGAAGTTGCCACAATGTGCGAGTGTGACTTACTAAAAAGAATGAGCATCAGTAGTCATAGATGTCCCTGCCGTGGTGTCTTGTTGGAGTTTGGGGGTGGGGGTGGTGGTTCATAAGCCATTCAAGTCTCCAAACATAGCTCTGGGAGCGAACAAGGAAATGGGAACCGAAGGGCCATCGGGCCCTGGAAACTGGGAGTTGGCTGAATTTCGTAAAAAGTACCATTTTCTGCAGTTGCTGCATGACCATGCCGTGGGGACTGTCCCCCTGCCACAGATGGCAGCTTCCACACTTGTGAAGATCAATGCCTCGAGAACATTCCTGTCACTTCTAGGTCCATCTTTCTTACTCCCCGCCCAGTAGTGACTTTTGGTACCGTGCCTGTCATGGTACCTGCAGAAGGGAAGCGGGTGATACGCTTACCTTGAAGGGGCAGCGCCTGTGATTTCGTGGCTGTCGATTCCTTTATTAACTGCTTACTGCCCTCCCTGTCGGGGGGAGAAGAGTCTCTGCCGTCCCGGTGTTTGTAGCCCAGTGCTGGAGACGTCCCGCTGCCGTTAGCAATGGTGTGACGTGCAGATGGCGGAGGGTGGGGATCCAGGAAGGCCTCCCAGGGAAGGCAAAGGCCAGACGTGAGACCTGAAGGACGGACGGGGTGAGACAGGTGAAGTGTGTTCCAGCCGCAGGGACGGGGTGGGGGCACAGCAGGGACACAGCCAGACTGGCATTGGAGGAAGACGCATGGAGAAAGGACGGGCCAAGCGCGGAGGCTGGTGCAGGGTCCGGCTGGGCAGGTGAGAGGACAGAGGAGACCACGGGATGCAGAAGCGAAAGCGGCGGGGCCGGAGGCAGCGGGAGGGCCGAGGATGAACCCCAGTTCTTGGCTGGGCGGCTGGAGGATGGGACGCCATGCCCGGCGGGTGGGGAAGGAGGAGTGGATGTGGCAAAGGATAAGAAACGAGTTCAGTTTGGGTCACAGCAAACTAATGACCCGGCAGGATCTCGGACAGCAGGCTGGAGACTGACTGAATGTGAACAGCGTTGAGAACACCGGTGTTGCTGAGACCACCGAAAGGGAAGAGTCACCCAGCCCAAGGACAGGGTCAGTGTTGGGGTCTCAAGGACTTCTGGCATGGAGGCAGGGACATGGAGAGACTGAGGAGGGAGGAGAAAAATCAGGAGCTGAGACTGTGGCACAGAATGGGGTCAGCAGTGTCTGAGGGTGTGATATGGTCAAGCAGGTTGGAACCAAAGTCACAGGCTGTGATGCAGAAAAATGACCTCGGAGAGAGGAGTGTCAGGGTGTCGTGGGGACAACGAGCATTCTTGCAGGGGAAATGCAGCCGTGGGGGCGTCCAGTGCCAGCGGCTCTGCTGGTAGAGGTCCTTGGGGTTGCGCAAAAGGACTCCTCGGTTCATGTACCTGGAAAGTCCAGGGCCAGCGGCAGCTGAGCAGGGAAGGGAGATGTCCGCGGACGGCGAGGTTGGAGGAGAGGAGTCTTTGTGGCTGAGAGTAGTAACGGCAGCGCTTCCGGGGAGGCTGCTCCTGCGCCCCACGAGTCAATCTTTCCGAGGGTGCCGAGAGCCCGGGGCGAGTGGTAGCTGCTGAGGCCCACAACCGTTTCTTGATCAGCTATGTATTCGCCCTTTTCTAGAACTTCTCTGCTTCTGGCATGACAGACTCTTGACTTAAAACCAGAATTGTTTTCTGCTCTGCTGAGTGCCACGAATATTTTCATCCCACATTGCTAAAAGTTGCGTCTTTACTGGCGGCAAGGTCTGAGAAAGAATTTCCTCTCCTGTAAAACATAAATGTGGTTTTTGCAAAGCACCCTGCGGCTCCCACCATGCTGAGAAATAGCAGGGGTGGCTTTTGTCTGCCAGGTGAGGTGTTTCTGAGGGAAATTGCGACCAGTAGCCACCTGGAGGGCTTCGGTGTACTGGGCCTGGCCCTCAGCGTGCTGGGATTATAGGCGTGAGCCACCATGCCTGATCCACTTCCTTTTCTTTCTGTTTTTTGCTGTGTTTCTCACCTGTCTCTTTTCTAAGTCCAACTCGGTGACTATCTATCCACATTGCTGTATTCACTCAGTCACTTAACAAATATTTGAGTATCGTTGAGCATCTGTTAAATGCAGGACTCTGTCAGAGGCGCCGGGTGTGCAGTTGCACTGTTGTACGGTGTACTCAATGCTTAAATGTACGGTCTTCCTCTTACGGCGTCCAGCGGAAGAGACTGGCAAGAAGCAACCGTTGAGGTAGGAGGAAAATCAGGCGGGCGTGTCCTTCTAGAAACCAGTGAAGGAAGCGTTTGAAGAAAGGAGTGATCGATGTACCGCATTCAGTGCTGCCGAGGGGGGATACGTGGGCATCACCCGTGATGTCTAGAGACGTCATGGTTAATTTTCACTACCGTATAGAATTCCCTCACGTGAATAGAGAAGACTCATTTCTCTCTGCTACCATTTGGGAGAATATTTTCAGTGAACATTCTCGAACATGTCATTGAGAAAGATATGCCAGTCTCAACTTGACAGTGCCAAATTGCCTTCCCAAATGGTGGCACCAGTGTCCGTTCCTGTCTTCAGTGTTCAAGAGGCCCCATGGCTTCCCACCCTCACAGCATTTGACGTGTAGACTTGAGATTCCTGCTGGCCTCAGCAGTGAAAAGACGTGGCTCATCACGTCAGTTTGCATTTTCCTGAGTACCAGTGAGGGGGGGCATCTCAGCCACTTGGGTTTCTCTTCTGTGACCTGCCTGTTAATACCCATTGCCTTTTTTCCATGGAGTTTTCTTTTTCTTTTTGATTTGTAAGATTTCTTTGTATATTCTGGACACTAAATCTTTATTAAGTACATTGCAAATATTTACTCCCGGTCTGTGGTGTGTCTTTTAACTTCGTGAGGGCTGTGTGCATGTGTGCGTATCATATGAAAGCATTTAGTTTTGATGCAGGCAAATCTGTTTTTTGTTAATTAATCTTTCCCTATCCTGAGGTCATGAAGATACTTGCCCACATTTTGTTCTAAGACTTTTCAAGGGTTCTTTTTTTTTTTTTTTTTTTTTTTAAATACACTCACACACGTTAATGTTGATACATCTGAAATTCGTTTTTGCGTGCATCGGGTAAGGTAGGGATAAAATTTTATTTTTTTCTAGAGGGAAAGCCAGATGTCCTAACTCTCTGGTCTTTCCCCACTGCTCAGGACCGCCACCGTCTCCCCCCCAGGTTCCCTCAGGGACACAGATCTGTCTGGGCCCTTTTCCTGTTCTACTGATTGTATCGCCTATTCTTGTACTCATACCCCTAAGTTTTAATTATTGAACTTTATGAAGAATTTGGTGCCTGGTAGGGTGCACGGGCAGAGCGGGGAGGGACGCTTGCTTTGCTTTGGGTCATCTCTCTTTAAACCACCATCCGTGTGTTTAAAATAGCACTGGCTGAACGTAGAAAAGTCCATTTGCCACTCACCTGACAAGGGCTGACTTGGGGCCTGAAGGGTGGAAATCTCGTGACTTTTCTGTGAAAATCTGGGTACTTTTACTTTTGGCTTTCCCCGCCCGGCCCGGCCCACTCTCACCTCCAGTTTTCAGGGGTGATGCCTCTGAACCGTGGGGCGGCTCTTCCGGTGTTTACACCTGGGCCTGTGGCGGGCGCGTTGCGACGGGCCGCGGCGCCGATTCTGTGGGTCGTTGCCAACCGGACCGCAGAGACAGGCCCGGCGGGGGCCGGAGTTTCCTGTTGCCTCACAGACGCCCAGACCCTGGATTCCAAAAATAGAAACATGAGAAACCACTGTGACCTCACGGGCTCTGTGCTCACACGGTGCCCTGAGCACCCGGGTGGCGCGGCCCGGCCCTCCCCGTCAGTCAGAGCAGGGGTCCGGCGGCGCCGCCCTCCCTGAAGGGCCTGTGCTCTGTCCCCGCCCCTCCAGGCAGCCACCCGCAGGGCCAGGGCGGCTTCCGGCCAGAGGATGAGCAAGTTCTTGAGGCACTTCACTGTCGTCGGGGACGACTACCAAGCCTGGAACATCAACTACAAGAAGTGGGAGAATGAGGAGGACGAAGAGGAGGAGGAGCAGCAGCCACCCACGCCAGGCTCGGGCGAGGAGGGCCGCGCCGCAGGCCCGGATGCCGCCCCTGGGCCCGCGCCCAGGCGCCCGCCTGACTTCAGGAGCACGTTGAGGAAGCTCTTCAGCTCCCACAGGTTTCAGGTAGGTGGGGCAGGAGCCCATGATGCCCCGGGCGAGGGAAGACCGTCAGGCGGGTGGCCAGAGGGGGACCATCCCTGCCACTGCCTCATTCGTCCCACAGATGTTTACTGGGCACCCACCACCGGCCAGGTGCCCGGTGCTTCACTGGGATGCCGTGGGCACATCCTGCGTTGTCGGGCAGGGGGGGACATAATCCAAAAGTAAATTAAAGGTCCACCAATGGATGAACGTTAAACACAGTGGAATATTATTGAGCCGTAAAAAGGCACGAAGCACTGATCCACACTACAGCGTGGATGAATCTGGAAAACATGCCAAGTGAAAGAAGCCAGTCACAGAAGGCCATGGATTGTATGATTCCGTGTATAGGAAAGGTCTAGGACAGGCACATCCATAGAGACAGGAAGTGGAGCGGTGCTGGCCACAGCTTGGAGGGTTTCCAAGTAAGGTGATGAACATGTTCTGGAACTAGAGAGTGATGATGGTCACACAACCTTGTGAATGCACTTAATGCCACTGAGCTTTGTGCCAGCTTTAAAAGGGTAGCCATTTTGCAATGTGCAAATTGTGCCACACACAAAGTAGATGAAAGGGTAAACACTGGAGACAGCTGAGTGCCTGCTCTTGAACAAGGCCAGGAGGGTCCCCTGCCTCAGGGGACTTGTCACCATGGGAGTGTCTTCTCTTGTGGAGCCATGCCAGAAATACCTGCGTGGCTTTCAGCCCTCTGCTGGCCTCCAGGTGCGGTTACGGGGAGGACAGCAGAGGGGCGTGGTCCTCACAGTCCAGCAAAGGGATCTGAACTTTCTGTGGGTTCACGTTGAAGGACATGTCTGATTTTGAAGGACCCCTGCAGGCGAGCCTGGCCAACCCTGTGGTGGGCAGTGTCCGGAAGCACATTCCGAGTCCCAGGCCCTGCAGGAGGCCTGGTGGCATTAGGGACTGCTCCTTGGCAGGCCGGTTCCCAAAGGCAGGCGTTTTGGGGTCACTGCTGCAGGTATCCTGAGCCAAAATAAACCAGTTCCTCCTCAGAGCCCATGTCCCTCCTGGGAGCGGAGAGAGCAGCCCTTTCCTCTCCTGTCACTGACTTTGTTCCAAAGTAAAAGAGAAAAGAAAATTTATTTTGGTCTTTTTTCTTTTTTCACTTTCCTGTGGCTTAAAGAAAGCAAGCCAACAACCCTGGCAACTCTGCTCGTTCCTCTGTGGCTGTGACAGGAAGGGAAACGTGGCGTTAAGTCATTGGGGCTGAAATCTCAAACCCTCAATTTCAGGAGAAGGAATGAGCCAGCTTCCTTCCACCTGCAAGGGGAGCCTGGGACTGCCCCTCGGGATGTCGCCACTGGGCCACCCGGCCGGCTCAGGGCTGGGACCCCCCAGACATGCTGCTACTGGGGAAAAAGATGAATGACTTTCATAAATCAAGATGTTTATTCACTCACTTGATGGTTGCTTATTGAGCACCTACTGCGTACAGTGGCAAACATGGCGGACACATCCCTGCCCTCACTGAGGCTCTGACAGCCTGTGGTAGAGGCAGGAATTAGAGAAATCGTCACCAAGACACATACTGGTTACAAGTGAAGACAGAAGTTCTCCGTAGGGAGACAGAAAGGGGCTCTGAGAGATCCTGCGGGCGGAGGGAGACCTGGTTGAGGACTGGAGTTGGAGGAGGCTATAGTTCACCTGCCACCTGCAGGCTGAGCATGCACCAGCCCTGTGGGTGGGTGGGGAGGAGCTCTCCAGGCAGAGGGGCTGCCTGTGCCAAGGGCCCAGGTGGGAAAGAGCCCGCAGCATCCAGGGAACGGACAAGGGTGCATGTGGCTCGGGTTTAGCAAGCAGAGCCATGGCCTGGCAAGAGAGGAGGTGAGGGACGGTCATTCGTAGGCAGTGGGCTGCCGTCGAAGGTTCTAAGTGATTGGGGGTGACATCAGATGGGTAGAGGGATTCAGGGTGGAAGCAGGAGGCCAGGCTGGAGCAGGGCAGAGGATTAGGGTTCAGGAGTGTCAATTTCTGCAGGTCCTGAAATCCCCTTCTCAGGTGGTTTGAGGTGGCTGAGGTGACACAATAGTTAACTGCTGTCGCTTCTTACATGGACTAGCACAACCAAGAGAGAGAACACGGGGTGATTCAGGCCTCCGTGGATCCCTGGATGGACAGGATAGAGTCAAGCCAAGGGAAGATGGTCCTGAAGGTCAAGGACTTCGTTCTGTTCCTTTGCACCATGGGCCAGGCCCTGTGCTAGGCATTCGTCACGAGTACCTCCTGTCACACTCCCATTGTCACTCTGGTGGAGAAATGTGGCCAACCCCATTTCCCCAGGAGGACACTGAAGCCAAGGCTCAGCCCAGGGCGTGTGCCCTGCACCTCTGGCCCCTGGCTGGGCACGCCCATCCTTGCCAGGGTGAGGATTTGGAATTAACTGGCTTCTCTGAATTCTCAGCATTTTTCTTTGTGGCATGGCTCCCCTTGGAACTAGTACTGCCTGTGAGCTAGAAATTCAGGGCCTTGGGATTAGTTCACAGAGGCCAGGGTTGGGACCCAGGCATGGTAATTTTGTGACCTTGGGTCAATCTGTCTCCTTTTTCTTTTTGGTGGTTTTCTTTTTTAAATTGAGGTGAGATTAACATAACATAAAATCAATTATTTTGAAGTAGGTAATTCTGTGGCATTTCTTTAGGACATTCACAGTGTTGTACAACTCACCGGAGTTGTATCTAGTGCCGGAACATTCTCATCACCCCAAATGGAAACCCTGTGCCCACTAAGCAGTCACTCTCCGTTCCCTCCTCCCCCAGATGTTGGCAACCATTAATCTGCATTTTATCTTTATGGATTTTCCATTTCTGGATGTTTTATACAAACGGGATCATATAACATATGGCCTTTTGTGTCTGGCTGCTTTCACGTAGTATGATGTTTTCAAGGTTCATCCACATAGCAGCCTGGATCAGAACCTCATTCCTTCTTATGGCTGAATATCGGGGCTGTTCCTCGTACCTCTGTGCCTTGGATTTAGACCCCATGAGCTCTCAGATCCCTTTAGGTCTAAAATAAAGCAACAGGAGAAAACAAAAAACCCACCAGAGGCTTGAATCTTTATTAAGCTGCTGAATTTGGGTATGTGTGAAAACCGCATTACAAAGCAATTTGCTGGGTAATTTTCACAGTAAACCACGTCATCAAATACTTTAATTACTGAAACAATTACCTACAGGTTGAAATGGCCAAAGGATTAATAGTTTGCTCTTACGTAGGCCTGAATTTGTTTAATTTCAATCTGAAACTGCAGAAACTGCCAAGATAATGGCAGATTAATTTTCAGAGGTCAAAATCTATTGATCTGAGAGCGTGAGAGGCCAGGCCCCAGGGGACGGAGGTGATGGTCCAGAATTTCCAAGGGAAGAGAAGAGTCACACAGGGTCCTTTAGGCCTCCTCCCATCGCTGCGATTCCACCGCCGTCTCCCAGAATGCTGTCCCCTCCACCCGCCCCTAGCGCCCTCACAGAAGCTTCGGTTAACTGAGGCTCAGCGGTGTTGAGACGTGCTGAGGCTCGAGCTGATGGGGGAGCTGGGCGAACCCGCCATTAGTGACCTCGGTCACCAGGACTGCCACCACCACCAGCTGTTTCCCACACTCGCCATCAGCGAGACCCACCCTGGTCCCCACTCATCCTCCTCCGCCAGCAGGTCACAAAAGCCCACGAGATGGGCTTTCCCACAGCAGCTCCCCTCAGTTCCCGGGAATCTGTCAGCCCTGGGGAGCACACGTGAGCCGGGCGAGCACCTCAAGGCTCTGTGGAGCTGGCCTGTGAGCGTGGTGGCCATCGCTGTGACCCAGTGGCCTGAAGTAGGCAGTCCCTGGACGTCCCAGGATTCAGATCACTGAGGCCGGGACATGTTGAATTATTAAGCATCTGTTCTGCGGGTGCCCCGGCAACAGCAAACCCTGAAAACACAAATAAAAACTTTAAAAATGATTTTTTCTTTTTTGCCATCTAGGAAGTGGCAGTGGGGCTTGAGAGGTGCAGTTGAGAAACGGTGACTGAGGTCAGCAGATGAGCCGTGCAGAGGGGCTCTGGGAGGGCAGGCACCACCCGGAGGGGAAGGAGGTGGCTTTTGCCATTGGCCGGACAGGGGCTGGCTCCCACAGGCTCCTGTCCGCAGAATCTTTGCCAATAGTTTCACCCAAACGTCTCCAAACCAGCTCTTAAGATGGAAGGAGCGTCCCTGCTTGGGTCTCACAGTGTCTGGCCCGCAGGTCATCATCATTTGCCTGGTCGTCCTGGATGCCCTCCTGGTGCTTGCCGAGCTCATTCTGGACCTGAAGATCATCCAGCCGGACAAGAACAACTACGCCGCCAGGGTAGTGTCGCAGCTCTTCTGGGGTTTTACTAACACGGTTCACTGCCGCTATCCGCTGAGGGGCGCGAGGCGGAGCAGCTCTCACCTACCGGGAGTAGCGGGGCCCTCTGGGACGGGGGTTTGACTGGCTGTTTTAGTCAAGGGGCAGAGAGGGCGTCTTCCTTCCCAAATTATAGACGAGCGCGTACTACAAGCAGGAAACCCCATTTCACTTGATGGCTTGAATCGTGAGCGAAGCTGGACCACGGGCCTGGAGCGTGTGGCTGATCCTAGAGGGACGGTCACCCAGGAGCGTGGTCGGCTTTCCGGTCCCCCGGGGCAGGAGGGCTGTTTCTCCTCCTGTCTTCTGTTGATGGGCTGCATGTCCCCCGTGCTGGAGCCACGGGGGCAAGTGCTTACTCGTGCCCTGAAGTGGTAAAAGGGCAGAAGGAAACATATTAAAACTCCTCACTCTGGTACCTCTGCAGAGGCGCCCTGTGATGTTGCCTTCCCTGCCAGCCCTCGTCTCTGCATGGAGGAGAAGTGTCTTCCCTCTCCGCTTTCTGACAGAACCCACTAAGATACCTGCTGTACTCACCTTTCTGCTCAAATTTTTATTATGAAAAATAGACATTTTGCTGTATTTGGTTTATCTTCATATATGCCACAGACACAATTCTGTCTGACGGTTCAACATCACGACACTCCACCCCTAGATACTTCAGCACGCCTAAGAATGAGGTCTTTTTGCTACAGGGCCGTAATAGCACCATCAGACCTAAAGATCAGTCCCACCTAATAACCACTTTTATTCACATTTCCTCTCTTGTCCCAAGAATGTCCCTTATGGTGCTTTTTCTCAAACTAGGACCCAGACCTCCAGTGTTCTATTTCATTATCTCTCCTTGGGCTTTTTTAATCTAGAAGAGTCCTCACACCCTTTTCCATTTCTTTTTCCCTCATGACATTGACTTTTTGAAGAGTCCAGCCAATCGTCTTGTAGGATGTCCCATGTTCTGGATTTGTTTGACTATTTCGCCATAGGTCCTTGACCTTGTGTCTTAATCTCCTGTATACTAGATGTTAAGGTCTGGGGTCGGTCAGCAGGTGTTCCTCCTTGATGGTGGTGTCTTCAGTAGACACGTAGTGCCAGGGTCCCAGCTTAGTGCCACTCAGCTGGATCACTTGATTTAGGTGGCAAAAGCCAGACTGCTCCATTGTCTGGGGTACTTTTCCCTTTGCCGTTATAATTGGCCTGCCGCTGACACTTTGGTAGCACGCAAACACCCTCTTCCCCGGCTGGCATCCGGTGGTGATACTGGCCTGTGTCAGCACATACGCTGGTGGATGCTAAGTGGCGATTTGCTAGTTCTGTCTTTCCTTCCACATTTAGTAGCTGGTATGCTTCTGCAAAGGAGAGCTTTCCTTTTTTTCCCCCACAACTTGTGTCTGCATGTGTGGGTGTACCTCACTAGACTTAGGAATTTTTTATTCAGTGTATTACAGTCAATGTTAGTATTTTTGATGTTCAAAATGTCCCAAATTTGGTCACTGTGAGCCTCTTTAAGCTGACTGCTGTGTCTTTTTGACATGACTCCGTAAGTTTTTGATGTTTCCTTGCTTTCTGGCACAAGAAATCTAACACTTTGTACTTTCCCTGTCGCAGACCTAGGAATGGGTACCTTACTGTGAGGACTAGTACTTACAAATCAAGATCCAGGGACTCTCTGCAATTACCACCCGCCGTGGTGATCATTCCTAATTGGTACACATGGGTCTGCTTCAGTCTTTTCATTTTTTTATTTTTAAGAGATAGGGTATCGCTGTGTTGCCCAGGCTGGACTCGAACTCCTGGGCTCAGGCAATCTTCCCACCTTGGCCTCTGGAGTAGGTGGGATTACAGGTGTGCACCACCTGCCTGGCTTTGTCTTAACAGTTTAACTACAACTGTCAGTGCTCCATATGGAGGTACTGCCATTCACTTGAAGAGTGCCTTCTCATGGATGTTTATATTCTACAAACAGTGTAGGAAATTGAAAATCTGTGGCTCTGCGAACAGTGCTGCAGTGAGTCTCCTTACCACACGTCTTTGTGCACACGTGAGCTTAGCTGTAGGGTAAGTTCTTAGCCATGGAATTGCTGGGCCAGAGGCTCTGGTGGATGTTTTAATTCTGACGTTGCCTGATTGCCCTTCGGAGAGCAGGGTCCTTGTCTGTGGTGTTCACGCTGCATTTCCAGCACCGAGAACAGTGCCTCGTGCTGGTAGTTCAGTATTTGTCCAGCAATGACTTCGCTCTCTGGTAACCGGGCAGGTGCACTCGAGGTCAGCTCGTCTGTGTGACCTGCCCCAGCTGGTGACAGAGGCCCGGATTGGCTCTGACTGTGGCTCCTTGTTCCCTTCAGGTGTTCCACTACATGAGCATTGCCATCTTGGTCTTTTTTATGATGGAGATTTTCTTTAAAATATTTGTCTTCCGCCTGGAGTTCTTTCACCACAAGTTTGAAATCCTGGATGCCATTGTTGTGGTGGTCTCGTTCGTCCTTGACATTGTCCTCCTGTTCCGGGAGCACGAGTTTGAGGCTCTTGGCCTGTTGATCCTGCTGCGGCTGTGGCGGGTGGCCCGGATCATCAACGGTGTGTCTGCTGCGCTCCTGGGTGGTGGAGGGACGGGAGAGCGGGTGGGGCCGTGGGATGGGTTGGAGGCGTGGCTGCTTTGTCACTCTGGGTGTGCACACACATGTGGAGAGTTCCCATTATGGAGGCCACCACCTTCTCCTCCCCCACCATACCCCACTCTTCCTCTTCCTCCTGGAGTCTAAAGAAAAGTGAAATGCTGTGATTTGGTGTTGCGGCCACCTCTGCAGCTACAAACTGAGACCAGAACGTGTATTGAGAGGACCTACCTTTTCCGTTAGGCTATATTTTCATGATTATTAAGATATTTATGGGCCGGGTGCGGTGGCTCATGCCTGTAATCTTAGCACTCTGGGAGGCCGAGGCAGGAGGATCTCTTGAGCTCAGCCTGAGCAAGAGCGAGACCCTGTCTCTACTAAAAATAGAAAAAATTAGCTGGGTGTGGTAGCATGCCCCTGTAATCTCAGGTACTCAGGAGGCTGAGGTAGAATTGCTTGAGCCCAGGAGTTTGAGGTTGCTGTGAGCTAGGATGATGTCACGGCACTCAACTCAGGGCAAGAGTGAGACTCTGTCTCAAAAAAAAAAAATTGATGGAAAGGGTTACTAGCCCCTCCTGGCTTTTTCCCAGCCAGCGCATCTTTGTTTTTAATTTGTTGTTTCCCGAAGGGGATTCTACCAAACCGCGGCCCAGGAGGCCCTGGGAGGGCACTGTCCAGAGAGGAGGCAAGTCAGCTGAGAAAGGCTCTATGCCACGCTACTCCCCTTTTAGAGAGCGTAAAGGCACGCTAGTGTGAGGAAGGCTCGAGAACTTTTAAGTCTTCCAAGTTGATGTCTGGGTACTTTTTTGGGAAATGACACCTATTCACACGCCATAGACCCTGGCTGTGGAGAAGGTACTTGGGGAAATACCATCTTCCCAGATGTCAGGTAAGACTCCTGGTCCTCGCGCACGCCCTGTGGTCCCGGGGCCTCAGTTGCAGAGAAGTGGCGCTCGTGCTGTGATCTGCTGTGGATAGGTGGGTTCAGCTGGCAGTGGCCTGGTCGGAACTGCCCAAATGGCTGTCTGTGGACCTGTGCATCAGAGTCATCTCTGAGGCTTGCGTTTTTTTTTCCAAATGAGGAGCCTGATGCAGAGGGCCTGGTGGGTAGCCTGGGCAGGTGTGTCTGAAGCACTCCCAGGTGCTCTGGGTGTCCAGCCAGCTTTGGGAGTCCCTAGACTGGGGCCCACTAGATCCACTAGGACAATGGGCTATGGATTACTGTCTGGACGGTGAGGCAGTGACAGTGTGGCTTGTGCCTGAGGCAGGCATGGCCTCTGAGAGTAGCTGCCCAGGGAAGGAGCCCAGTGAGCCCTGTCACGGTGCCTCAGGCCCCGTGGCCCACTTGGCTCCAGCATGACCTGGCCAGTGAAGGACCAGGTCTGCTTTGGGCATGCGGCTGTATAAACAGCTTGGGCTGTGAACTCTTGTTGGCTTTAGGGGCTGGTTATGAGCAAGTTTAGATCTAGCAATTAAAGCCCATTAAGAACATTCATTTGGATTCTGTTAAAGAAAGGAAGCCTTTCGGTTCCTACTGAAGCTGCTCATGTGGAAAGGGAGCACTTTCAGCCCGTGCTCCCACGGCATTTGTGCGCATTGCCGCCCTGTTCCGACACTGGCGCGAGCAAGTTCTGGATTAAGGAGCTTAACGCTCATCTTGTTGGTGACTAGTTTGAAAGATTTCCCAGCCGTGTGGGCTAGAGAGGTACACCGCGTAACTGGGGACTAAGCAGCTCAGAAAGGAAACCCTGATCCGCCTGGCTCTGCTGCCTCTGGATGATGACTGTCTCGTGCGTCTGTCACCACGCTTCCCAATTATGTACGTGTATAAGAACACAAATTTTTTTTCACCTTGAGTGGTTAAATTAGAAACCATTATCAAAGACCCTCAATTTTATTTCAGGGATAATTATCTCAGTTAAGACACGTTCAGAACGGCAACTCCTAAGGTTAAAACAGATGAATATACAATTGGCCGCCAAGATCCAACACCTTGAATTCAACTGCTCTGAAAAGGTAAGAGACACATTTGGAGAAATGTCCTGTTTGCAGTTCCCTCCTTCAGCATGTGCTTCTCGTGCTCCTGCGGTGCCCGCAGCCTGGGGCACCTGTCCCTGGAGTAAGTCTTCCTTGTCCTTTCAGCTTAGGCATCAAAGCCCTGCCCACTCCCCCAGAGCTCTGCCAGGTCCCCACCTCTGAGTATGTCTCGTCGGTGCTGCTGACTGAAGCAGGCTCCGCAGCGGGCTGAATTCTACAAAGATACAAGTATAACTTGCATTCATCTTTGTGTCCCTGTGCCTGGGGCTCACTGAATGATTGTCACATCCTTGCTAAGACTCAAAAGAAGTCCTCATGTTTGTCTGCTTTTGCAATAGGAACAAGAAATTGACAGACTTAACAAGCTGCTGAGACAGCATGGACTTCTTGGGGAGGTGAACTAGACAGGGACCACCTTCTCCCAAGGAGAAGACTCCGCCTCCCAGGCCTGTGCCAGGATGAGAGAGACAGCCACCTTTCCTGGGGCCATTTGGTGAGAGGTTTGGTTCGATGCCCTTGCTGTACTCCTGCCCAGCTTGGATTGTGGGTAGACACGGCCCTTCAGAAGGTTCTATTTCTTCCTTGGTGCCATCCCATTCCCACCCTGCACTGTAACAAATGTACCAAACTGTATTTTCTCATATTGAACACTTTACCTTTGCTTGAAAATGAGCAATGAAGCTGGACAATTACTAGTTGTATATAGAATTTAATCTCAAATGCAATTTTCAAATTTCACAAGTATATCGAGGAACTAGCACATCCTTTCATATGAGTATTCTGAAAGAAAAAGAAGCTACTTTAGCTACCAGCCCATTCTAGAAAAGTCTTATTTCCAAGCTGTTCTAAATAGCTTCTCTTGTCCCCATTTCCCCAGGGAATGTGTTTCCCAGCTGTATCATGCAGCTTTTAGCAAGTGCCACCTAGTTCTTGCCACCTGACAACATTTTTCTCAATTACTGTACAATTACTGTTTAAAATAAACTCTCTCCTTCCCTTGGGCCCTCCTACTGTATTCTTTCCTCTCTGGCATCCCATACCAGCCTGCCAGTTGGAGAGCTAGCTACAGTGCCTGGTACAGAAACAGCAATCAGACCCAAGACTGCACTGTAATTAACATGATATTTGGGGGACGATCCCCTCGTGAGGCTTTGTATTCTACTCACATGATTTTATACAATATTTTGCTACTTTTGTACTCATTTCAACAGGACCTGAAAAGGAAAAAGAACCTGAACTAAAAACAATGAATATTTTAAAAATAACTCAAAGCCGGGGATGAATAAACTAGCTAGATCTTGCACGCCTATGCTACTTCAAGGTCTGTTCTCTTTAGACAATTTGGTTTCCATATGTGATGTACGTCTTGAGAGTATTAGAAAGGACCAAGACCAGATGTTTCCCCATTCTAAATTAAAACCAAATAGAATTAGATTTCCAAAAGGAAAAAGTCAGGAGGGAAGTGAGTAGAGAGGGGCAGTATGTCAGTGTGGAGTCAACCTCAAGGGTTAGGACACGTGTAATAAAATGCAATGACTCTGAGGGACTTCTGACCCCACGCGCACTCTATTCTAAAGGTGAGGACCTTGGAGGTGGGTGCAGTTTCCTTAAGTAACAACTTACATCAAACAAACGGGAAGAAGAAGTCAAAGGGCAGCCTGGCGTTGATGGCTGGCGGAGCGCGGAAGCCTGCCTCTGCAGGGGCAGACACATCCACGAAAGTAACCATGGTGGAAATGAGAATTATCTTTTCATTTCCTGCATTGGGCTGTAATAAAAAGTCAGAGATGTGAGCCCCACTGTCCAGTGTAGTAACAGGATCACAAAGATGAGACATTTTTCATCCTCTTCTTCACTCAACCACTGTCCGTTCAGGAATCTGATAGGTAGCGGAGCACTAATCGCCGCTAACTTGGATGAGAGAAACAGTCTTCCCCAGGTTGTCCTGATTAACACATCTATATCAATCATAACTCAAATTTCACGAGGATTTTAAAGGTCACATCTAAACCGGAATGCTAATGGGAACAGAACCACCGTCAGTGGAGCTGTGTTTTGTTCTCTAAGTAAAAGATAAAGAATGACTTTTTGTTAAATTGTTTTAAGAACCCAGACTGTTTAAATTAGAATCTTTTTCACAAAGTAATAAATTTAACCTATCACACTTGAGTTTTGTCTGGATTTCTGTCTTAACCTGTACCTTTAGGCCAAAGTTGGGCCCACCTCGGGAAAGGAGGATGAAATCAGATTTGCAGTCACGTTGACTACTCTGGCCTGTGGGTTCAGTAAGGAGCCGTATTTAGTCCACTTCACTTCTATAACCAAAGCCACTGGGAGCTGGCAAGAATCCTGCAAAATAAAATGCCATCAATCAGTTCAAATATTATACAACCTCAAGTCAAACTTAATCTGCAGTTAAGAGTTTTAATTATAAAATGTTTCACATATTACAAAATGTTCTGAACAAGAGAATGAATAGACTCTAGAAGTTCAGATAAAAACAGCTTAGAGAAACATTTTAAAGTACTAAATGCTCTAAAAGTATTTTAACACCTAAAGCATAATTTTTCCATCCCCTCCTATTTCTAAAAAGGCCAGCACCCCACCGTGGAGCCTTTGGGGCCTTAACTGCTCTACCTTCATCTACCTGTCTACATCCATCTCTGACTTCGGGAGAGAGAATGGAATTATTAATACACAGAAATTAAACCTGCTTGCATATCACATTAAAGTGCACTGAGGAAATCTGAGTGCTTTCATTTTCACTTATCTAATTTCATCAACTGGCAATCAAGATATGACATTTGGGTATACAGGCGGTGTATGTAGTCAAAAATATTAACTCCTCTTCATCTGCACTGAGAACGTTGGTGCCACAACTGAGCCACCCAAGTCCAGGCTGGGTGCTGCAGGAGCTGGGTCTGAGGCTTCGCCCCAGGACCTTTCTTTGGCCAGCCCTGAGGGAAAGCGGGCAAGCAGTCTCTTCAGTTGGCAAGCGTGGTAACTGTTGAAGCTGCAGGCAGGGTAGATGGGGACTCCATGGTACTATTTTACTTTCCTGTATGTTTACCATTTATCCATAACAAAGTTTTTAAATACATCTTTTCAGGCCATGAAAAGCTTACAGGCCTGCTAAATTTGGTGCCTGCCAAAAAGGCACTGATGAATTTCTCAGTTTGCAACTGCCTTTTTAAAATCTTGCAGGCGGAACGATCCTTGCAGATATCCTGTTGTTAGAAGATGCACCGTACAGCTGGTGTAAGCTGAGCTCAGCAGATGCTCTCGCGCCTGCTTCTACCTGAGTTTCCTGTAGGGTTGGTACAAAACCCGCTGCAGGCCCCATAAGGGCTCTGGAGCAGCACAGATCCTGCCAATGCTCCGTGCACACTGCTGCTCTCCTCCCTCCCTGTGCCTTCCCTTCCGAGGGGGAGTAATAACTGGATGTCTTCACCCATCACCAAGAAGCCAGAAGATATTTGCCTGGTTCACTGGGGCAGCAAAGCTGAGCCGAGACTGCAGTGGAGCAGCAGGGACTGAGTGGTCCGGGGACTCAGTGGGGAGGGCAGGCTCAGAGCTGGTGAGCCAGTCCCCAGTCACTGTGCCAGGCTATAAATACGCTGAGAGGATAATGAGAGGCCTGAAGAAACTGTGACAAGAAAGAGCCAGGCAATTAGAGGATAAGATGGAGAGCACGCCTCCGGTGATGGGACCGGCCCACACTCTGACTGCTAAGACAAAAGGAAAAGGTGGGCAGAGGAATCACATGTGACCAGGAACCTATTTGTAGGATGTCAGCTTCCATTAAACTCTTTGGGGAGCTGTGAGAGCTCTCACGTGTGGGCTGCCTTCACAGACCAGGGAACAACAGCTGGGAGAAGTCTCGGTCTTTGAGACAGGCCTCACAATTGTCTATAGTATCACAAGATGTCTAGGGGGGACTCAGGGAACACCAACGATCACAATGGTGATCATCGGATGGTGGTCGGTAGCACCACACCAAAGGCCAGAAGAACGTAACCTCATTTATCGCTGTCAACCACCCCATGTGGTCGGTACCCATGACTTTCATTCCCATTTCCCAGATGAGGAAACAGGCTCAGACCCATAGAATGCTGGCCAAAGGCAACATAGCTATCAAGGGGCAAAATCAGTATTCAAATTCAGGCCAATATGATAATAAAGCCCAAGCTCCCACCCAGAGCCACCCTACCTCCTGAACAGGTGGCTTCCCCAGCTGCCTCTGTCGCCCCACCTGGAAGAGGGAGAGACTGCTAGTACGTACGTAGCCTTCACCTTGTTCCCCTTACCTTCATGTTGTGTGACTGGGTGACGAAGTGGATGGGCACCCAGTCCAGCGCATCCTGGGCCCGGGAGTTTCCGAAAGGGGCCACGTGATCTGGGAAGCCCTGGCCCTTCAGCAGGCTCTCCACCTTCTGTGCCACGAGCCAGCACGGGACAGCTTTGGTCAGTCTTTGGGAAGGAAAAAGGTCAACTGAACAAGTCTATTGTTCATCCACCAGCAGTTTTTAAAGGCCTCCACACGTATGCTTTTCTAGTTTCATTATTTTATCACTCTCCAAAATGGGGAGTATTTGACAGAAGCTAAAGTGTCTCTAGGCCAGGCACGTTGGCTCACACTTGTAAGCCCAGCACTTTGGGAGCCGAGGCAGAAGGATTGGTTGAAGCCAGGAGTTCAAGACTAGCCTGAGCAACATAGTGAGACCCCACCTCTACAAAAAGCAGACAAATTAGCGAGGTGTGATGCTGCCTGCCTATCTGTAGTCCCAACTACTACAGAGGCTGACACAGGAGGAGCCCATGAACCCAGCAGTTTGAGGCTGCAGTGAGTTATGATGACATCACTGCACTCAAGCCTGGGTGACAAAGCAAGACCTGTCTCAGAAAAACAAACAAACAATAAAGTGTCTCTAACTTTGTGAAATCTTGGCCAGGAGGATGAGTCCAAAACAATGTTTCCCAAACTGTATTCCACTGAAGCTCTCTGTACAAGAAGGGTTCCATGGCCAAAAAGTTGGGGACTTTGCACCTCCATGTCCTAATGTCCTTCCTGAAGCATAGTCACACATTAAAGGCTCTGAGAAGTCCCACAAGAAGGAATCATGGTTCTAACTTTAATCTGGTGTTTCCCAAACATATTGGACTGTAGACCTACCCCTCTGACACTGTATGGAAATGTATTCCATGGAACCTCCTTTGAGAAACGCTGGTCTAAAGGGATCAGCACTAACACTGTAAAGGGTGAGCATGGATCTAATCAAAGTCATGGTGTAACCACCCTGGGGAGATGTGCACACGGGGGAGAATGAAGGGCAAAGAGCCAAATCGTCATCTTCCGTGGCGGGAATGCAATAAAAAATTAATAAAACCAAAAAATCAAGAAGTAGCACTATATGCAAGTTATCTAAAGATCTGGGAGTAGATTTCCAAAGAAACCAGCTACAAGAGTTGAAAGTGGTGGTGGCTGGGGTGGGGCAAATTAGGATAAGAACTGCTGTTTTTATAACAAAACATGCAGAGCTACTTGACATTTTTGTGTTATGTGCATATTTGGAAATAAAAAGATAAAATACAGATCACATTCAGTCTTCCCTCGCTGGTTTTGTTGTACTGTGTATATTAAAATTCAGAAATATAGGAAGGACTTTCAGAGGAAATATTTTTGCTATTAACTCAAAGGTTATGCAACCTTAAAAATGAAACATAAAAAGCCTTGAGACTTTTCCACTGCCACGTTTGATAAGAAAAATGACTGTAATAGTTTTGCTACTGTTCATTAATAATGATAATAAACTATATGTAGCTTTTGTAAGCACTCATTAGCTGATGGAGAGGTTTGATTAAAATGGGGATGAGTGGGAATGCTTTGTTTTCTGATCAACACAAATTCAAATAGAAACAAGTTACTCTTACCTTAGTTTACAGCCAGATTGCATATTGTACCCAAATAATACCGGGGTCCGGATCCCCTCGATCGCTAAGCAGTCTTGCTCAGTTGTGCTACGAAGAATAGTAAGTTGTCCATACCTATCTGTGGTCTGAATTATCCCAGATATTCACAGACAGTTAAGGGATAATCAACCAGTGCTGATTCTCAGGTAAGAAGATCGTGTCACTTGTGTGACATGAGTGAGACCCAAAGACACCTTCTCTGGGCCTCAGAGATTTTGACATTTATTTCCCAGGAGAGGGCAAAAAATACTTATAACTATTTTCCTTGATTAGTAGATCTGCAGAAGAAAAACCCTAAGAAACTAGCCCTTCGAAATTAATTCTAAACTTTCAAGATCACTAAATTTGTTTAGGAGTCTCTGTTTAAAAGTGAAATTAAATAAATGCAGATGTCAACTTTTCTGTGTTAGATTTTCATTTTAAAACACTGATGTTTTCTTAGGACATGCTGCTTTGCCCCCTACAGCCTGTCTCCACTCAGCCCCACCACCCATGTGAGCCGCCCAGAGGAAGCTCTGGCCGGGACTGGTCTCTCCTTCCCATAAGCAGGCCCTGGGACCCTCAGCGACAAGAAGTGTGGCCCATGCACATGGACAGGGAAATCAACCTCCTCTATAGCACCAAAAAGGATATCCCTCCTGAGGCTGGACGCCAGCAGCCAGTGGGAGCCCCACAACATAACCAGGGTTTCCACTGAGAGGAACTGGCTTTGTGTTTTGCTGAAACACAACACAGAAATGACCCCAAATGATTCTCATTTTAATAAGGAGATGGCAGGGAAAAAATGAAATGCTTTTCATAATAAAATCTGGAATTACCAACAGAAGAATTTCTCCCCCTACTCGTAACTATAAATATATCTGCTGAGTGTAGGAGTAAATCATACTGTAAAAGAACAAGCTGCCACGGAAGGGAATCTTATTCCCAAATGGAAAAGGATACAAGGACTTTGCCTGGTTTTATTACAAACTCCACATGCTACACACAAGCCCTTTGTTCACTAGAAATTGTTAGATGTGATAAAACTTCCAAATTGAATTTTTTTCACTAAGAAGTTATTAACTTGCAATTAAAAACTTACTTTACACAAATTTGATCAAACTTACCTGAATAAAATGAATTTCAAACTTTTGCTGCAGTGGAACCACTACACTGCTAACTGTCCCCAGAAGGAAAGAGAGATCAGCTTTTGTAACTTCACCTGTGTCTGTATATGTGAGGCTGTACTTCACCTAAAAACAAAATGATACTCCAAATATACCTGTTTCCATTACATTTCGGTAGCTTTATTAAAAACTCAAATAAGAGGCCAGGCGCGGTGGCTCACGCCTGTAATCCTAGCTCTCTGGGAGGCCGAGGCGGGCGGATTGTTTCAGCTCAGGAGTTCGAAACCAGCCTGAGCAAGAGCGAGACCCCGTCTCTACTAAAAATAGAAAGAAATTAATCGGACAACTAAAAGTATATAGAAAAAATTAGCCGGGCATGGTGGCGCATGCCTGTAGTCCCAGCTACTCAGGAGGCTGAGGCAGGAGGATCCCTTGAGCCCAGGAGTCTGAGGTTGCTGTGAGCTAGGCTGACGCCACGGCACTCACGCTAGCCCGGGCAAAAAAAGCGAGACTTTGTCTCAAAAAAAAAAAAAAAAAAACTCAAATAAAATATACCCAGGCAGCAAATCTTTTCCCATTTCTCCATTTGTTAAAGCTTTTCTCTGCTATCCCGTCAGACTATCAGAGGTGTTTGTTCCCTCGACATCACCCCCAACAGAGGGGGTCATCAGAGCCTCTGTGTGCCCAATACCTAAATCTGCTGGTTCAAGCAGAATGTAATTAGCCTAACAAAAACAACAGCAAGAACAACAAAATTTTTTTTTTTTTTTTTAGAAACAGGTTCTCACTCTGTCACTCAGGCTGGAGTACAGTGGCATCATCAAAGCTTACTGCAACCTTGAACTCCTGGGCTCAAGTGATCCTCCTGCCTTAGCCTCCCAAGTAGCTAGGACTACAGGCGTGCACCACCATGTCTGGCTGGCTCATTTTTTTTTTTATTGTTATTTTTTTGTAGAGACAGCATCTCACTACATTGCCTAGGCTGGTCTTGAACTCCTGGCCTCAAATGATCCTCCCACCTGAGCCTCCCAAAGTGCTGGGATTACAGGCATGAGCCACTGTGCCTGGCCAAAAACAACAGAATTTTGATGTATTCTTGCAAGTCACTAGGTTTGTGGAGACAAGTAAAGAAGCGTCCTGTGATGAGACAGTGTAAAGGCAAGCAGGATGCCAGGCCAAGCAAAGCGACCATAGGATGGACCATAGCCCCCTCCGGAGGGTGTCCAGTTACCACGCAGGACGTGCAGCTCGAGTCTGCCACAAACAAACTGTCAAAGCCAAACTAGACACCTACCTCAAGAACGACATTACTGCAGAGTCTAACGGGCCCAGCGGTGATGAGCGCCGGCTGCAATATGGTAGTGTTTTCCAGTCGGGTGAGCGTTTTGTTCAGAGACTGAATGATGATGGACTTAACAGTGATGGGCACCTACGGAGTGAAGAAGACAAGAAGACCTGGATTACTGAAGTTACTCTACACAGAGGTCAATGGGTTACCATAACAAAAAGCTCAAAACAAACCTCCACTGACATACTGCCAAGCGAGGGGAAGCACGCTACAAAACGATGTGCGTTCTATGATTCCACACTTGCAAAAATACAGATATTTATATGTAAAAACATATATATAACATTCACAAAGAAAATACACGAGAAGGATAAAACCAAAATCTTAAAAGCAGGTACCTCTGAAAAAATACGTTCACTCAAAAACTTGTACAGGAATATTCATAGCAGCACTATTCATAATAGCTAAAAACTAAAAACAACCTAAATTTCCATCAACTTATGAAGAGACAAATAAAATGTGGTATATCCATTGAAAGGAATATTATTCATCCATAAAAATGAAGTGCTGATACATGCTACAATATAAATAAATCTTGAAAACATGTTGAGTAAAAAAAGCCAGACACAAAAGGATGTACATATTACATGATTCCATTTATATGAAATGTCCAAATAGGAGAATCCATAGAGACAAAAGCAGATCAGTGGTTGCCAGAGGCTGGGGAAGAGAGCTGGAGAAGAATGAAGCGTGACTGCCAACACGGGTTTCTTTTCGGGGTGATGAAAATGTTTAGAAATTACATAGTAATAGCTGTTCAACCTTGTGAATATACTAAAAACCACTGAATTATATACTTTAAAATGGTGAGCTTTATGGAATGTGAATTGTATTTCAAACACATACACAAACTCCACCACACCATCAAATGCGTAATATATACACACACCCGCTCACTTCCAAAACTCAACTCCTACTGATAAATATACACACTCAATACACACATGTGCACATTCCACACAAAGTCCCAGGATACACAGCCTTAAACCCCCACAACCTCCCTAAATGTACACACCTGACCTAATTTACACACAACTTCTACAAACACCCCTACACACACACAAAGTGGTGGCCTCTGGGTGGTGGGATTATGGGCAAGAGAAAACAGACAAACCTTTTAAGCAGAATACAGGAAGCCCTGGTTATCCCAAGGCTGTGAAAGGACATTTTTCATCTATGGCCATTGTCAGCAAAGTGACTAAGCAATAAGCAATCCTCTAAACATAGCTGGACCTCTTTGTACTATAGGACAAATCTGACATTTGTTCTAAATTTCAATTCTTGGAAACCACTGTCTAGGAAGGAATCTAATGTATCCAGCTGTTTATGTTGCTTTGAACTTTGCCCTCAATGATGTACCATGCTGTTTACAATTTAAAATTAGTAAGTATGTAAGCTGTCACTTTGGAGATAAACAAGCAGTCTTTGTCTGCTCTCATGACCAAGAAGACCTGCAGCTATCCTTATAAGTCAAATACCTCTCACAGAAGAATGTGACATGATTCAGTGACAAAGACAAGCTGTCATGTGATAAGAGAGACAGAAGGCAAAACCAGTCACAGCAAGGCGCTCCGTATAACAAGCTGCACTAATGAGCTTAAGAGTTACGTAGAGGCTGGGTATGGTGGCTCACGCCTGCAATCCCAGCACTTTGGGAGGCTGAGGTGGGAAAATTGCTTCAGGAGTTTGAGACCAGCGTGAGCAACATAGTGAGACCCTGTCTCTACAAAAAATTAAAAATTAGCCTGGTGTGGTGGTGCATGCCTATAGTCTCAACTACCCAGGAGGCTGAAGCAGGAGGATCACTTGAGCTCAGGAGTTCAAGGCTGCAGTGAGCTATGATCACGCCACTGTACTCCAACCTGTGCAACAGAGTGAGACCCTGTCTCTAAAAAAAAGAGCTATATATGGTGTTCCAGGCTGAGACTTAATTAGCCTTTAAGTCATCCAAAGACAACCCTGGATAGCTTAATCTGAGCATCCTGATCCCTGATGTCAGCAGTGACACACAGGGTTCCAAGAAAGTGAACACCCTTCCATTCCAGCCTCTGATGGAGCTGCCCCCATGGTGTGCAGGTGTTGTTGGCAAAAACTGAAGGGTCCAGTTTAAATAAGCTTTGGAAAGATCGAGGGACTACTGTAAATGGCAAGATATGTCCCAGTCCCAGCATTTCACTGGAACAGTCATAAGAATAAAACAGTAGGACTGTTCTGATGTCCTCAGTGTCCTCCTTAACCATATCCCACCCCCGCACCACCCACTGCTAAGAACCACAGCATTACTTTACAATGAAACCCAGGGCTCCGCTTAACCCTTCACTGACGGCTCAACAGGTACTGACAATGATTCTGGGCAATCACAACAGGCTTCACTTAACAGGGAGATGGGATCCAATTTCTGTATTCTTGATCCTCTAACAGATCTTAAAATTTGCTTGTTTAAAAATATTTAAACAAATCCCTACTATTAGTTTATATGCTTGTCCTTTAGAGTACAAGCTTGGTGTCACAGACCTGAGTTGGAAGTCCCGGTCTGCCACATCCTGTATGGCCGCAGGATGTAAAGAGGGAACGTGTGTGAAGCTTGTAACATGGGGCCTGCCACTGAGTAGAGCAAATCCAATGTCATGGTGAACTGTAAGGTCTCTGGGGCCAGACTGCCTGGATTCCTGCCCCAGCTCTGCCACTTCCCAGCTGTGTAGCTGTGGGTGAGCTAATTCCTTTCTCCGTAACTCATCTGCCAGAGAGTGACAACAGGACCTACTTCCTAGAACTGCCAAGAGGATTCAAGGACTTCAGATGTGTACAGAACTTAGAACCAGGCCTGGAACCCACTCCATGCCTTCTAGTAACATCCATCATTCCTCATAATGTCTTCCCAACCTGACGGGACCTACCTCTTAGTCATTCATCACTTAACACATAACCCACTGAGTGCCCAGTACATACTGGCTACTGCCCTGGAACTCAGGCTGTGTCATGAACAAGGCAGACTGGGTTGCTGCTCCCACAGACGGTTCAAGTTTTGAATGGCAGAATCAAGCGCTTTCTAGTAGTTGGAGGGATGAGAGCTAGCCCATTATGTGACCTTCAAACTGAGTTCCTGGGAGCCCTAGGGTTCCTCAGAGGGATCAAAGGGTGGGTGGATGGGGGAAGGCTGGGCAGGTGGAGGGCTTCAGGCCCCACCCTGCTCCAACAGGGCATCCAGCACAGCTCCAGATCCATCCATGTTACACACCAGGGAGGTTCTGCTTGAGTCTGCATTTGAAGAAAGGGCTCTATAACTGAAACAAGTTTGAAAACACCTTAGCAGACGAAGGAATCCAGCCCACACACACTAGTGTGAAATCCAAAATCACATGGCTATTTCTTTCTAAACTCCCTCAAACATATGTTTGTGCCCAGAGACTTAATGAAGCTGATTACGGTCGGTGTGTCACTGTCCCAAGTGCTTCCTGTGTGCATCCTCCCACTCAGCCTTGCGTCGAGCCTCTGCACAGACACTCACCATCCACTCAACAAAGGGAGACTGAGGGGTAAGTCAGACAAGAACACGATGGCAAAGCTGAGTTTTGGACCTACGCTGACCAGCTCCACAGGCTTTGGAAGACTATGACAAAGCCACCACCTTGGACTTCCTTGGGGACTGTGTTCACAGGCAGGCCTGGGGCACAGACCCTAGAAGGGGGCGTAGAGGATCCATGTTCTTTCTCTCTGCTATATCCACAGAGGCCTTGGCCTCCTGACCACAGCTCAAAAGAACCCCTGGGCTGGGGGTGATAAGGCTTTGAATAGAATCTACCAGATCAACCCCTGAAGGTACACTCTGTGGGTGCACACCTCCCACATGTGTGTGTACACCCACTGAGCAAAACGTTTACAGCTTCTACTCTGGACAGACAGCATCCTGGGAGCTGGCCAACTTTCCTGACGAGACCAAGAAGAGAGCAAGGGACACCCTGAATGTCCAGAAGCCAATCACACCCATTACCAGTCAAGAGAGCTGTGTCACTTAAACATGGACGAGTGTGGAACCACAAGTGAGGGAGCTGGAAATCCTGAAGTGCGATTCAAAAGGGGCACGTGCTAAGGAGTTTCCCTATTTCACGTGTGCTTGCTTTTTGACAGATGTATTTGTTACCGGCAACAAGGTACCCTTGTAGTTACAATAATATTCATTTCAAAGGGCTCAGAAACAGGACAGTGTATTATAAGCTATCTTACTTTCCATTAAGAAATACTCTTACCTTTGTTCTTGAATTAGGCACCTAGAAAAAAAGAAACCATAACAAATTGTGTTAAGTACGACAAAGAGAAGCATTTTCATTGCTTTTTCAGACCTTGGGTTAAAGAGCGTATTTATCTTACCAAAGATTTCACAAAGAGGAAAACAGAATTTCCTTGATCAAGACTTCCCATCTACATGTTTATGTTGTAATCAAAAAGGTAATGTTGCATTTTCTGTCTATGTTCATTTCCTTCAGATCGAAGCTCAACCAGCAGTCTCAGGAAGCCTCCCTGCTTCAGTGTCATTACTTCATATTTCCAAGTGGCCATCACTGCCACAAGCACTGTGGGGAAGGCACAGGTCCTGCCCTCTTGGTCACTCTCACTGCGCCTGTCCTCACTGGAAGGTGACCATCGCTTGCCCAGACATTTCCACAGCTTCCTAACTGGTCTTCCTGCCACTAGCCCAAGCCCCCTCGATGCCAAGCTCCGGCCTCCCCCATACGACTGGCATTCTCTTCCTGAGGGTTCTACCTCCCTTCATGCCCTGTCCCCCATCTCTCCCAACCTCATCACAAGATGCCCTATTAAGCCACTGGAAGCTTTGAGGAGGGGGAAAAATAGACATGTTTGGGAGTCTTGTACCATAAGAGAACTACACCTCGATGCCTAGGGGAATACTTCTGGGACTACGTCCAGGACTACTTCAGGACCACTGTGAGAAGTCAGACTAACCGAAGAATTCACAGGCCTTGATGGCTGACTTACAAGACGAGAGGGAAGGGGAGGGGAGAGGAAAAGGTTACACTTGATTCTAAAAGCTGAAACTCAGATGAATAATGGTGCCATGGACCACCCTATGCCTCTACTCCCAAAAAAAGGAAATGGGGGGTTGACAATAATCATGTGGTTTTTAATCACTGAAAAACGTCTTCTCGCCTTATTCAGTTCAGGCTTCGGTCACTGCCACCAGCGAAAAGGGGCCTTCACCGCTGTGCCCTCTTCCATTTCCTGCCCTTTCCTCACCGCTCTTTCGCCTGCCAGACAGTGGATTCTCTCTTCTTTTCTGGGCTGTTTCTAACAGAGAGCTTTTTGGTGCTAATATGATTATTTCTGTCAGACATTAAGACATTTATATGATTTCTAAAGTTTTTAGTTGTTAGTAAAGATTTCATTTTATTTCAGGTGACAGACATTATTGGTGACCATCAAAATGAACAGAAGGAGGAAAAAATGAATGAAAGCAAAATATGAGCTAACTGCACGAAAATAAAAATTTTTTTAAAGGATTATTTCAATAATCACTGATACCAAAGTACTGGAGAAAAGAAATTTCAATTTGAGTGTCAATCATGTACTGAAATTATTCTATACGTGTCATATTTTAAAACAAAGAACAGAAAACATACCTAATGAATCAGTTCCACTTCAAAATAATTCTTACCCTCAAAATTTCGGGGCCGCTGTAATAAGCCATGCCAAGGGCTTCAATTTTTTCACATTCTTCTAAATTTATTGCTCTGGTGCACTTAACAGCCTGGTTCATTAGAAATGCTGGAAATCATAACATTCCCAAGGGAAAAAAATACAAAAGAAGAAATTTTTCAACTGTCCAATGGCAACTAAAAATTTTTAATCTAGGTAAAACTGCAAAATGAGTTACAACACAAATATGCAATATATTTAAAATAGGGTTTTAAATTATTTTTCAAATAGGTATTCAAAATTCATCAGATTCAAACTTCGGAAGGCACAAAAAGAGAACAAAGTCTCCCTCCAACACCTGTCTTGCCTCCCAGCTACCACCAGTCCCCTTCCCCAGAGGCAACCAAAATGAAGTGTCTTGTTTATCGTTCTGGAAATGTTCTATGCAAATAAAAGCAAGTATGTATACAAAATAATTTATTATTTCTTTCTCTTTTTGGAAACGACTACACACTATATATACTACTGTGCCCCTCATTTTTTTCACTGAACAATATATCTTGAAGATCAGCCTGTCTCAGTACATGAAGAGTTTCCTCCTCCTTTTTCAGGGATAATTAGTATTCTATTAGAGATGCAGCATAATTATTCCACCAGTTTCCTATTAATGGACACTTAAGTTGTCTGTGTCTTTGCCATCACTAACAATGCTGCAACCTATTATTTATTTCATGTGAGCCAGAGTTTCTGTAGAATTAACTCCTAGAAGCAGAACAGCTGTGTGGAAGGGCACATTCACTTGGAATTTTGAGACATATTGCTAATCTGCCCTTCACAGAGGCTGTACCAATTTACAGTCCCACCAGCTATGTAGATGAGTAACTATTTCCCCACAGCCTCAACTTTTTTGAGCTCTGACAATCTGATAGGGGAAAATGGTATCTCAGTTTGGTTGTCATTTACACTTTTCCTGGTGTGTGCAAGCTTAAGTGTCTCATCAACAGGATACATTTTGCTGTCGTCCATTGCTTTGATAAGCTTCTTCATAGTGACGCTCACTTAAGGGTGGGAGAGACATGCCTGCTGCCATCCACTGCTGAGGGGGCCATTCTGTGGGGTCTGTGGTACTCCTGAATGGAGCAGCAAGACCCGTGGGAGGCAGGGGAGTACAGGGGAGCACGGGCTGCAGGCCACCCGCGTGGGCTCTGCCCTCATTCCACCATTGTCTGAGCAAGAAACTGCACGCCACCCAGTTTCCTCATCCGCAAAACGCAGATGCTAACCTGACTTCAGAAGGCACAAAAAGAGAACAAAGTCTCCCTCCAACACCTGTCAGTGTTCAAAGGAACACTGTAAGGATTAAATGGAAAACACATGCAAGCACTTAACCCAATACCCAGCACACAGTAAGTGCTTACTAAATGTTAGCTGTTGATAAGCTTTAGCACTTTCGAACAACTGAAAGTGTTATACAACATCTGTTTTCAGATAGTGAGTTCCCCATCACTCCAAGTGCTCAAGCACTGACTGCGTGTGGTAGAAAAGATTCTGGCACCGGGTGGCAAATCAAACCATTAATATAACACATAAATTTGAGGTCTCTTCCAACTTGCAAATTCTGTTTCTAGTTATGAAACCTGTTTAACTACTACAAAGATAACCTCATAACAGCAAACTGTTTACAGAGAAAAAGAAAACGGCCAATCTCTTACCTGCAGGGTTATTATCAGTGCACAGAGATGATGTCAGGGGCGAAGGAAATCTCAGAAACGAATCTGAAGTCTGTAGACGAGCCCCATACTGCAAATACAAGCACCGACAGTCATTATGGTATTATTACGGCATTCGTTCAACACTTACTGGGCACCTACTATGTGCCAAGCAGCACGGGAGGCATCAGGGACACAGTGATGATCAGCAAAAAACAGATGTGATCCTCGACCACGTGGCGCTTATGTCTAGCCGCCTCATTCTTTTTTAAAGGAGCTATGTTTCTGTGTGTGCATTTTACTGTATTTGCAGGCTTTTTGATTATGGAATTCCTCTGGAAGGGTATACAAGAAGCTGACATAAGGATTTGCCTCTGCAGACAGGAACTGGGTGGCTGGACACAGGGGTGAGAGAATTATTTTCCACTAGCATTCATTATTTAAAGAACAGATAAAATATATATTAAAATAATAAAATCATAAAAATACATTTTTATGACTCATTTTTATGAAAGAATGCCTTCTTTCCTCAAACTAAACCCCATGAAATTCTTCCCCAATATTCAAAACCCAAATTTGCAGCTATTGGGCATATAGCTGATTTTCTTGGATTTGAAAGTTTATCCAAATCCAATGTGTTGGTGCCAACAAGGGTAGGGGAAAGCAAGCCCTTTCATTCACTGGAGCTGGGAGTGTAAATTACTGCAATCTTTCTGGATGGCAATCTGTTATCAGTATTTAAAATTTCCATTCATTTTGACCAAGCTAACCCATTTTATAGAAACATATCCTAAGGATTTAATCATACAAGTGTACGACAAAGATATATATGTATATACAAGAATGTTCACTGTGGATTATTTATAATAGCAAAAACTACAAACAAATGTCTGTTAAGAGTGGAACAGCTCAGATACATACACAGCAAGGAATACTTTGTAAAATGTAGCACTAACCCTAGTTTTGACAAGTTACTTTCCTGTGCCTAAGGTAAGTGGGAACAGTATGTCCCTCCTAGGGTGTATGAGGCAATGCCTGACACATGGAAAATGCTCAAGAAATGGTAATTTTTATGTTGACATGGGAAGATGCACAAGATTTATCACTGAAAAAGACATTTTCTAGAATAATGTGGATAACTATAAATCCCAATTCTGTATAGTACTATATGTACATTTTAACAGATGTATTTAAAAGTCAGGAAGAATACACACCAATCTTTTCATAGTGATTTGCAGTATGAACTTTAATGGAGACAAGAGGCCTTTCAATTTTTACTTCTATACCTCTGTACTTTTAACTTTTAGAACTAGCACATGTTGCTTTTATTCTTTTCTTTTAAAAAGATGCTTCCAGGTTGGGTACAGTGGCTCATGCCTGTAATCCTAGCACTTTGGGAGGCCGAGGTGGAAGGATAGCTTGAGCCCAGGAGTTTGAGACCAGCCTAGGCAAATTAGTGAGACCCTGTTTCTACAAAAAATGGAAAAATTGTGTGGATGTGGTGGCGTGTACCTGTAGTCCCAGCTATTCGAGAGGCTGAGGCAGGAGGATTGCTTGAGCCCAGGAGTTGAAGGCTGCAGTGAACTATGATCGTGCCACTGTACTTCAGCCTGGGAGACAGAGTAAGACCCTGCCTCAAAAAGAAAAAAAAAAGAAAGAAAGAAAGAAAAAGAAAAAAGAAAAGAAAAGCAGCTTCCAAAAAAGTTAAAGTTTATTCAAAATTAATATATGTCACATTTAAAGGTATACTAATGAATAGATACAGAACAGCAGCACACATGCTTCCAATGTCTATAAAACTAAATACAAGTTTGGGAAAAGAAGACCAGGCATCCATTCAATCCACTCCATGTTCTCTTTCCGCAGCATAACTCAAGCTTATTTTGCTGCATCTTTTAAGGCTGAGAACAACAAAGAATTCCACAGAGAAAAATGCAAGCTCACCACAGAATAAACTACCTTCAATCTATATTCAGAATTCAAATATTCAATTTTAATCTTCATGATCTTTGATTTGCAGGCATGAACATTAAGTTTTTGTTTTGAGACAGGCCTTACTCTGTTGCCCGGGCTAAAGTGCAGTGGCATCATCATAGCTCAATCTCAAACACCTGGGCTCAAGTGATTGTCCTGCCTGAGACACCTGAGTAGCTGGGACTACAGGCACATGCCACCCTACCTAATTTTTTTATTTTTTGTAGTGACAGAATCCCTCTGTGTTGCCCAGGCTTGTCTCGAACTCCTGGCTTCAAGCAATTCTCCCCTGTGGGCCTCCCAAAGTGCAAGGATTACAGGCATGAGCCATGGGCCCAGCCGACATTAAGTTTTATAGTCTGTACTATCAATTCTATGTCTCAGGGAAGCCAATTTAGCTGGTAACATGCTGAAAATTAACTTACAAGGACAAGATATTTGTGGCAGGAAGGGCAGACTCGGTAAATGTTCTTGGCTCACCTCATATTTAGCAGTATGTGGAGCATCCAATTTGGATGGGAAGGAAACATCTGATTCAGCATTCAGTGAAAAACCATCAGATGTTTTCATCAATTTATCAAAATTGTTTTCATCAGGCACTTCTGTGTTAATAAAGGATAATGCAGGTTTATCTGTTTTTAGAAAAAGTATTTTAATCAGTGTAAAATATATACTATATATGACTCATGTAATATTTTAGAATCAGCTTCTGGAAGCATTAAGGCTGATGTGGAAAAAATAAAGTGTCTTTTTCCATATTCACTTCTCCCAGCATTTCTTGAAGCTTGTTAAACAAACAGGATCCCTAGACTCGGCCTGCTTCTCTAACGGTAGGGAAGGAATAGTTTCCTGCACCTGCAAGTAAACAGCCCAACAGAAGCCAATAATAATCAATATCTTTCTCCAGTCCATGGACTAATGGGTCTGCTCCATCAACCTGTAAGGGGAAGCTCTCTCCAGATGCCTATGGGAATGAAAGAAGCCTATTTCTCCTCTCACACAGCCACGTTCAAAGCCCTGGAGAAAAATGTGTCATGTACAGAAGAGAGAAAGGAGAAGAGAACAGGCTGGTATGTACATTAGGCTCATGTCACTGGCCAGTCATCACTTCGGATTACAAATCGTGCAGAGCATTCACCTAACTTTTCAATCACAAGGGAATAAAACCAAAAGATATTAATATAAAGATATTCTGAAAAGATGATGTTTAATTAATAAAACCATAAATGTGTCACTAATCTTTGATATCTTGATAACATTTTACACTCACATGTTCTTTGGATCTAAACACTTATGTGAGCTAAATATTCAGATAAAAATAAGGTCCTGTTTTCATGCAAATGTTCTTAGTAAAAATAAAAGAGAAAAAGGAAATAGAAACCACAGGTAATGTTCAAAGCAGAACCTGATTTTCAACCATTAAACCCAGAGGAAATAAAGTAAAAAAAAAAAATGTATATATAGAAATCTAAATTCCTGTGTATGTCTACATATTACAAACACCTCTGAAATCAAATGTAAGGTTTCAAAAGACAACTACACAAGCACGATCTTTTAAAGAAAGCGTGCATGCCCACAGGTCTATAAAGATACCTGCAGTTACCTGTGAAATGATCTCAGAAGATATACATTATACATATAGCCAAAACATAAAATAATTGCTTTAAATCTAACTGAATGAGACTTTTTCCATAAAATAACTTTAAAACAAAAATTTTCCAGAATTTCACAAACTATATCAAGGTTGAATACTTACAGTTTGTATTACGAATGCAGAAAATAGATGGATTGATCTGGTCAACAAGTTTAAATATCCTTTGAGGTGGATTTGCTGTAAAATTCAATGAATAGATGGCTGCTTTTTGACTACAAAATTGGCTATCACCCCTGAAAATTAGAAAAAATAATAATACAAACTTATAAGGCATAAGCACACAATCTTAGCAAGATTATTTTAAAACTGTCAGCTGCTTGTACTGGGCTATATTAACAGATACACAAGGATATTTATGAAAGCATGATGTTAGAATTGAATCCATTTTTATTTATTCAGTGTTAAAATGTTTGGCATTTGGGCCAGGCACAGTGGCACATGCCTGTAGTCCCAGCTACCTGAGAGGCTAAGACAGGAGGATCACTTGAGCCCAGGAGTTTGAGGCAACATAGTGAGACCCCCATCCTTAAAAAAAAAAAAAAAAAAAGCTTGGCATTTGAAACATTTTCCTCTAACGGGAAAAAAAAATTAAGTAGAATAACCTTTAAGGAAATCATGTCAAGTATGGAATGTAGATCACGGTATAATTTTGATGTCAATGAACCTTATAAATTCTGATAACATCAATTATATAAAATTTTACAGACCTTCAGATTGTTTATAAGTAGCCACAATACATCCAAATTTCTTGTCTTTAGATACATCTGTCTTCAAAAGATTGTGAGAATGGGAAAATATACTAAATGTCTTCATCATATACCAGCTTATTCATACACATCAATTTGTTTAACCAATCCTCTACTGTTGGTTTAGGTTGTTTCTAATTTACCCCAATTATATATAATGCTATAATGGCATCCTTGTACATACATCTGTATGTCTCCTGTTATTTCTTTAGGATATGTTCCCTGAAGTGGAATTGCTAAGTCAAAAGACAGGTACATTATTTAAGGCTTCTGAGACACACTGCCAGATTGCCCTCCAGAAAGGCACAACATACATCCTTACCAATACTGCAGTAAGACGGCCTATTTCCTTGTACTCTTGCCAAGACTGGATATTGTCAGTTTTGATTGGCCCTTAAAGGGTGCATACGAATAAAATAAAGGGAATGGGAGGCTAATCCAAGTGCAAAAACAGCCCTGGCCAAGGACGGGAATGAACTGATGGTTTGGGGAATCTCTGAGTACCAAGGCTGGGCTGGAGTGGAGGCTTTGAGATGGAGGTTAGTAGGAAATAGGTCCTGAAAGAAGTTGGGAATGCACTGAATCCACGCTGAGGAGTCCATAGGTAATGAGAGCTTCTCAAGGTTTTTAGCAAGTAAATGGTAAGAGAAAGTGCGAGCTTATACAGTGGAAGGGAGCAGGGATGGGCAAACAGGAGGGCTACAGTGAAGAAGACTCAGAATGGGACCCCTTTCTCCCCTCCTGTCAGCCAGCTCCCTAATCTTGTGCAGCACATTGCTGTCAGCAGCAGATCTAGATACTTCTCTCTAGTTCCACCATCACAGCCTTCAGGGAGAGGAAGGTAACCATTAATCCTCATCTGCAATAGCTTCTTACTTGGTTCTCTGACACCAGGCTTGGCCCTTGTGACCCATCATGTAGGCTGCTGCAGAATTCCATAACACCAGAATCTGAGCCTGTCACTACCCTACCCCCTGCGGACTTCAGGACAAAGTCCAAAGCCCTCTCAGCACACACACAAGGCCCCTCAGACCAATCGTACTCTCCTCTCCACACTTCTCTTGCCCCACCCCTCTAGCCACAATGAGTTACCCCTGTAGTTAAGCAACAGATCATACCCCTTCCCTCCCCTCCCCTCTTCTGCACCAGGCCCCAGGACTCTGCTCCCTCAGCGTGGAATGTACTTCCCTGATTCCATGCTGGCCAACTTCCATTTGCCCTTCAGGACCCAGCTCAGCTCAGCTCATCTTTTCTGGAAAGCCTTCCCTCATGGAGCTGAGTTTGATGCCACTCCTCTGAGTTCTCCCAGTGCTTGGTGCAGAAACTGCCATCCACTCATCTGTCTCCCCACTCAACGGTAAGCCCTTTGAAGGCAGGAGCGTGTCTAACTCATCTTTATATCCCTGGTGCTGGCATACAGGAGGTGCTCAAGAAATGTGTGATCAGGAGTGAAAGACTGCTTAGACGAGACAAGACAAGGAAGCAGCAGGAGCTGGCAGCCTCCAGGTTTCTGGTCTGATGTCTGCCTGCAAGGCTGATGGTAGAGGAAGTCAAAAGGGGACACAAAATCAGTTAGCGGTGAGGGGAGAAATTCATTGATCCATTCAACTTGTTTTTAGTGAGGGCCAACTATGTGTCAGGACCTGTGCTAGGCTCTGGTGGTACAGAAAAGAGATCTTTCATTCGTGAAGCTTCTAATGGGGAAAAGAGACATCAGTCCATTAAGCTTACCAATGAATTTACAAGTTATTAGGTGACAGAATTAGTTGTTAGTTTAACAAATGAAACAAACCTTTTATGAATTGGAACCTACATAATGAGAATGCTCAATTAACTAGGATTATGACTTTTTTATCTTTTTTTTGAGACACAGTCTCAGTGCAGTGGCGTCCTCATAGCTCACTGCAATCTCAAACTGCTGGGCTCAAGGGATCCTCCTGCCTTAGCCTCCTAAGTAGCTGGGACTACAGGCACGAACTACCGTGTCTGGCTAATTTTTCTATTTTTAGTAGAGACAGGGGTCTCGCTCTTGCTCAGGCTGGTCTCAAATTCCTGAGCTTAAGTAATCCTCCCACTTAGGACTCCCAGAGTACTAGGATTACAGGCATGAGCTACCATGCCCAGCTGGATTACGGCTTTTGATTCGGTTATTTCTATACCGCATATTTACAAAGAAAGTCAATCAAAAAACTCAAAAACCTAACTCAGAAAAATGTGAAGTCCTGTCCTGAGGGTACTATAGATTCAGCTCTAACTTCTAACTTCTAAACTAGGGGTCTCCAAACCCCATCTGTTTTTATAAATAAAGTTTTATTGGAACAAGCTAAGTGCATTCATTTATTAATACATATTCTATGGCTATTTTTGCTGAACAATGGTACAGATAAGAAGTTACAACAGAGACCCATATGGCCTGCGAAACTTAAAATATCTACTATCTGGCTCTTTACAGAAAAAGTTTACTGACCCTGATTCTAAAAAAGCTATATCTAAAATTACTATATTGACTAATAAAAAACAAATGACATTCTAGAAAACAGTCCCAGGTTGGAGAAGAAATCCCACTCTCAGGAACCTGTACTTACTAAGGCAGGAAAGCAGAATGATTTTCAAGAAAGTGTGAACCATGCTATAGTCTAGGTAGCTAGAAAATTAAATCTAACTACAACATCCATTCTCCAAGCATTTTTTACAACACTAGAAATAGAATCAATTTCTCATTGGTCAGTTAAATAGTTTCTCAAGGGAAAAACACACTGTACTTCCAAAAAGGATTCAACCTATCAAGTATCAATTGCTAAAACTTGCTATAAGGCTAAATTTAAATTAGTTATCTCCGAATAAGTTGGTCCCATTTTGAATAAAATTAACCTTTTCTAAGTGCTGTTTTTTCAAAAAGTTTTAGAAATCTGAATTATGAGAACAGATCATTCAGAACGGTTATTTCTTTACTTGTAATCAACTGGGAATGTCATTTTCCATTGTTCTATACAATGTGAACTGTGAAAATTGGCGGTAGAAATACTTAACAGAAAAGTACAAAGCTTTCCTATCTATTTAATTTTCTAAGTACTATGTCCACAACAAAAGCTGTAAAATTAAACTGCACATTTCACCCCATGCTATATAGGAGACAAATATGCTGATACAGAATATGTGATGTGTTTCACTCAAACTGAAATGTAATTCAATCTCCAAACACTGAGAGATTTCATTATACTCTTTAGAAGAAACACACACTCTCTCCTGTGTGCCTGCATTATCATCTGGCTGGATGTATGCATGGGATAGCTACTTATTTACATATTGGTTTGGACAGTATGGTTTCTGAATCATGCAAAATACAGGAAATCAGGTTTGGATTTTTCAGCCCAGGGGAGTTTTCACTTTCTGTCCCCAAATTTTATTATCCTGGTCAAATCTGATCAAAACTGCACGTGTCATAAACTTACGTGACAACTGGAACTGAGCAGGTAGAAAAGACGCTGAAATCCACAGAGCTGCAGTCAGGATCACAACAGCAGTTGATGTCACACTGTGCTGGGGACAAGTCACAGACACACAGAGCAGCAACTATAGAAATAAGAAGGGTAGGATCCAGAGCATCACAATCAGCAGGTGGTGACTGTCCCCTGCCACTGCAATGCACCATAAATCAACTTCATACCCGAAGTCCATTTTATTTTTCCTATTGCGCTTGGGGGGAAATTTGTGAAGTGGAAATTAGTCAGTCTGAGCACTCGACATTTCCCCAAGGTGGCTAACCATCTGACCCGCTTGGAAAGTTCTGTTTGTGCTCTCTCTACAAAAACTCTGATTTGGTAAGCTGAGTATAAAACCCAGACACCTGTACTTTTCAAACACTTTCCAGGTGATCCTGAACCAGCACGCCTAAACCATAATAACCTGCCTGACCATAAGAACCATTAGTTTACAATTACAGATTCCCAAGCCCCTCCACCGGAGACTGATGCAGAGGAAGGACCCCATTTACTGCCTCCAGGAAGGAGGGTTTTCAACCTTGTCCCTCTCCTCACATATAACCTGCAGCTTTGAAGCTAAACTCATGTTCACAGTCTCTTGGGCAAGAATCAAACTGGCTCAGGTGCTTAGAATATATTTGGCAATTTAGACAATAAAGCATGGGGGAGGGGTAGAAATCTCCCCACTTGGCAACTTTTAATTATTAATAATGAAGATTATCTGGATTTTTAATTCCCTATTTTATTCTACCAACGAAAAAACCCTTTTAAAGAAGTAGTAAACCATGAGAATGATAAACACTGAATTCATGGTAGTGATCATTGCTGGGAAGGAGGGAATAAGATCAGGGCTTTAATCTTGTCTGTATTGTTTTCTTTTTCAAAAAAGATCTCAAGTCGAAAAGCCAAAAAAGGATCTCAGGCAAATGCTGGTAGAGGGTCCATACAACACTCTTATTTGTATATATGAATTATTTTACAATAAAAATGAGCTTTAGAAAAATATAGCCCATAATAAGTATAGCATACCCTGGGAAAAAAAATGTGTGAGGGGAAGGTTCAGTCAATAAATATGCAATGATTTCTTAGTCTAAGACAGAAAAATTTCCCTCCTTAAGTTTACAGTGCTTCTCTGTAGCCGAGGACTCTTCTATGTGCTTAATAAAATAATGATGCAACTGATGCACGTTAATGTAAAAAATAAAAAGTGTTTTAGGATCCCTGCCTTACGCGTTTAAAATTATAATCTTGCTTTGTTTTCAAAACTTAAAACCATTGTAGGTACCTATAACACTGCTGAGGACAAAGCAATAATGTTTAATAACTCCACTTAGGGGAAAAAAAGGTCTCTACCCAGGATGTGAGTGCACTTAATCATCCAACAAGTATCTTTTGAGCCCTCGCCAGGTCTAAGTAGCACTCAGCTGCTATTTCGTGCCTCTTATCAGCTGCATGACTGGCTCGTGGAGCAGGGTACTAATGAACACAGCTCAGACTCACGATGAACAGTTATCACTCTTCTCTTCCACCAACTGCCTGCAAGCCATTCTGTAAATTTCCATCTACTTCTCCACTCAGAGTCAGTCTCCTGCTCCAACATTTATCAGCTGTGTGTCGACCCATAATTAGGTAAGTACTTCAGCTACCTGGAAAATGGGGATAACAATACCCACATCATAGGGTTGTTGTGAAGATTAAAAGAGATACATCACAGGTGACATGCTTAGCACAGTGCCTGTCACACAGTAAGCAGTTAATAAATGAACTATTATTACTGTCACAGGCTAAAGGGAGGTCCTTTAAAAAGATGAAGACAGGCTGGGTGCAGTGGCTCATGCCTGTAATCCCACACCTTGGGAGGCTGAGGCAGGAGTATTAATTGAGCCCAGGAGTTTGAGACCAGACTGGGCAATAGCAAGACCCCATCTCTACAAAAAAAAATTGTTTTTTAATTGCGAGGCATGGTGGTGAGCACCTGTAGTCCCACCTACTCAGGAGGTTGAGGCAGGAGGATCACTTGAGCCCAGGATTTGGAGGTTGCCGTGAGCTATGATGACACCACTGCATTTTAGCCTTGGCAACAGGGCAAGACTCTGTCTTAAAAAATACATAAATAAATAAGCTGGGTGTCGTGGCACACTCCTGCAGGTCCAGCTACTTGGGAGGCTGTGGCAGAGGATCACTTGAGCCCAGGAGTTGGAGGCTGCAGTGAGTTGTGATCATGCCACTGCACTCCAGCCTGGAAAACAGAACAAGACCCTGTTGCAAACAAACAAAAAGATGAGACAAGTACAAATTCATCCCCCATACTGAAAAAACAGCCCTGACTACGTGCCCTAATAATGGTGGTTCAACCATAGCTTCATTTTGGGGAGAAAGTGCATTAACATATGGAATACTGGCCGGGCGCGGTGGCTCATGCCTGTAATCCTAGCACTTTGGGAGGCTGAGGCAGTAGGATCGCTTGAGCCCAGGAGTTTGAGGTTGCTGTGAGCTAGGATGACGCCATGGCACTCTAGCCCGGGCAACACAGTGAGACTCTGTCTCAAAAAAAAAAAAAAAACAAAAAAACATATGGAATACTATGTCGATAAAAGATAAACCAGTCCTTAGAGAGTTTCAGGCATTGAATACTTGGCTATATTCTGTCCCAATTTATCACTGATTTAACTTCCCTACTAATTCATCAAATCAGCAGTTTAAATGTAAAACAGCTTTGCTTACATAAAATAGAAAGTATATTTCTCTGTACTTTTTCTTACAGACTACTCATAATTTATGAAGAAGGCCTTTGGGAGAAATAACAGTTCAGAAACCGAAGTTAAGTGCTAGTGTTCAGGATGTCAGCAAATGATGACTTCTTTATTTACTAGCACTGAGTCTTATTCAATTTAAGATTTCTTTCTCTTAAGATTTTTTTAAAAACTTATTGAGGTTACTCTCAATTCACAAAGAGGATTTCAAAAATTTTTTTCTTGAGATCACAAACCCCTTTGAGAATCTACTGACTGCTATGAACTTTCCAGAAAAGTGGACAGTCACAAAATTTTGCACTCAATCTCAGGGAGTCACAGCCATTGCCTGAAGTCATCCATGTCAACTCATATAATAGTCACTAAATGTTGAATTCCAGGATTAGAAGATCTGAGAAAAAGGTTAATTATCCCTAATATGAATTCTAAGAAGTGGGCATAAGCCCTCACCCCATACCTCCCACCTCAACCCAACACAGGCGCAATCGTGGGTTTTCATAATTCAAGTCAATGGACAAGGGCCTTGACCTAGTCACATTTAGTAAGCTGCTAGACCTCTGGCATCCATTTTTAACGTAAGTGAAAAGTTAAATGCAGCCTATTCATTAATCTCCACCACTGTCTACAAACTTTAGATTTAATTTCATTTTCGGCTGCAGGGATTCATTATTACCTTTAGATTAACGTTGTCTAAGACCACTTCAAGTATTTCAAAGATTTGATACTGTCCCACTTACACTCTCTGAGCCCCAGTGTCCTCCTCATCTGTATGACAGTGATAGTATCTACCTCTCAGAGTTTTCGTGGAGAGAATTAAGGTCTACGGAACACTCAGCAATGTCTGCACGCAGCGAATGTTCAATAGGCGTTAGCTGACATTGTTAAATCCTCACTCAGGCTACCCTCTCCAGGTTGGAGCTCTGTGGACGCCCAGCAGTTGGCACTTGGTACCCACCGTCTGTGACCGGGGTGGGCCTGGGGCCGGAGGAGAGCCCCGGCGGCCTGGAGGTTCCGGGAGGCCTAGGCGGCAGGGAGGGTCCGAGAGTGGCCGGAGCAGCCTCGGTGTAGTTGAGGGGCTCCGTCGTCAACGCCGGGGTGGCCCCGGCCTGGGCGCTCACGGAGGCCCCGCAGCCCAGGAGAACCAGGAGGAAAGGCGGGAGGCCTTGCAGCCCCATGGTCCAGCGGATCCCCGCGCCAGCTGCCCCAGGGCTCGTGCGTTGCCTGGCAACCGCGACAGCCGGGCGCGGGGCATCACGGGAATGGGCCCGTGAGGCCGCGCGAGGCCTCGGAAGAAGGGCGGAGCCTGGGCGGGGGGAGGCCGGCGGCAGGAGGGCGGGGCCTGGGCGGGAGCCGGAGGCTTGGGGGGCAAGGCCGGTGGTGACGGGGGGCGTGTCAATCCCAGCTTTGTGTGCTTCCCGGCTCATCTGCGGAGCTTGTTTAAAAAATGGGGACTTAGGCCTGGCGCGGTGGCTCACGCCTGTAATCCTAGCACTCTGGGAGGC